GAGTACAGGTCTTAATTTGCATCCCTCCATCGGCAAGTGGTAGCGTCCCCATATAAGTGAAAATTTTTCGACAGAACAAACAACAAAAAAGATACAAACGTTGACTAAATATTTTAGTTTCCCCAAGATTGTTTTCTGTATAACTATTTCAAAATGTTCGACAGAAATTAGACAGCTCATATTCAAACAATATGGATGCATACTCACCGATTCAAATGAACACGCAGAAGATAAGAATTGTTTACGTGTCTTTAATATTATACAGAGTTTTTAGAACCTCTGATGGACTGACTGGCTACAGCTGTGTACAGAAAACATTACTATCAAAGAAATTATCTTTTTGTTATTCTATGTGGTCATTAAAAAAGATCAATTTACTAAAATAAATATACTGGAGTCAAACCAACAATACCGCTGTATGGAAATTATTGAATATACTTGTTTAAAAATGTGTGGGTAGCAACTGTTCAAGTACTCTTGTAAATTGATATTTCAAGTTTCATTGTGATAACATAAACGTGCATGCTCATTAATCGCATGATGCATACACGGAAGTGAGCTGTAAGCCCTTACCACTTCTCTTCATGAATTTAACCATTTAAATATCTTATTTTTTTTTAATTTGGTCAAATTAAATTAAAAAAAAAATTGTTTCAGTTAATTCGCCACATGCTAAACATACACTCTCTTATGTTAATTCATTTTCTTTTTAACTGATCAAAGACTCTCTAGATACATTTCAGTTAATACTACCTTAACACTTCTCATTGTACCGGCATTTGCACTATGAATATGAAAAACATTCTTTGTAATGATTTATTATAACGGTCACAGAATAGAAGCAAGCGATTCAAGGCATGCATCAATTTGATCCTCCCTGCCAGGTTGCTAATTTAATCCTGCGACCTTGAAATGTTCTTAGTTTCTGTCTCTTGTATAGTGCAGATTTTAAGCACACAAAAACCTACCGCTCCATGCAGCGGTAAAACGTCAAGGAACAGGAATATCACAAATTACAAGTGTTATTCTTGCTTTGCCGTCTCAGTAAGCGCTTGCTTATTACCTTGAATTCCAGAGTGCAATTTTAAGAGTTCGTGGAATTTTTCCATTCAAAGTCCAAAATCTAACCTTGAATATTGAAATAAAATCAAAATTTGCAATAAAAAAAATAATATGTTTACCAGATGTTTAACCTTTGCATGGCTTTATCAATGGAATCCAATGTAAAAATGTGCACTTTCACGGAGTGTACATTTGGTAAATTGTCTACAAACTTTGTTTTTTGTTGTGTACTTTGCTCTTTAAGCTAGCCACACTTATTTGTTTAACAGTTTTCTTATACATGTATGAGATCTGTTGATATATATATAGTTTGTAGAATAACCTGTATCCTTATTATGTCACAAGCGGGAGAAACAAAAGTTTACTATCTAGCAATGGTGAGGGTTCTCTTGGATATATCGAAATAGCTTTGTACAGTATGACTCTTATTTGAGTTTGAATATAAAATGTTTACTTACACGAAGAAAATAATTTTTATTCCAACATTTTAATAAGATTTATCGCAGGGGCTAAAGTACACAAAGAAGAAGCATGGCTCAGCTGCCAATTCTTAAGTAGGGAGTTGCTCTTACAGATTATATTTGTCATCTCCATCGTATGAATCCAGCTCATTGGTTATGAATGTAAAAGAAAGACAATAGAAAAAAGCATAAACTTAGAGTCATATTTTCAATCCTGTTTATACCCCCCGCTTGAAAAGCGGGAGGGTATATAGTGATCGGGATTTCCGTCCGTCCGTCCGTCTGTCCGTCCGTCCGTCTGTACGTCCGTCCGTCCGTCCGTCTGTTACGCTTTTTCTCTTATCCGCAACTCCTCTTATACTACTGAGTGAAATTGAATGAAACTTTCACAGAATCTTCATTACATATTGCCATTGTGCACCTCCTATTTTACTTTTTTATTCGACACGTATTTTAGGTTTTCCAGAGCAAAACATGGACATTGCCATTTTTTGTTTACCTATGACGTCACATAATAGAAGCTTCTGGATAACATTTGACGGGACGAGTTATTCCTCTTTACACATTACCGTAAAACAATATAAAGCAACACATCGACATTATGGGAGGCGGGGGGTATCATTTAGTGAGCTCATTGCTCACAGTACCTCTAGTTCAACTTGCGATGGGATATTCGCTACCTACGTTTCAAGACCTGAATTGATTACTAATATACGATGCATTTAATAAATATGGTAGTTAGTACTAAGTAGAAAATATACATGTATCCATCAACAATCGTGTATTATAAAACTGATTGTCACAGCATCGCGAAGAACACATTTTGCTAAGACAGTAGCAAAGAGCGGTATAACTCGATATCTTCAATAAGGCTTCTTTGCCAAGTCGTTCTGTTTAATGTAATGAGAGATCGCGAAGAGGAACTACAGTTCTGCGATTTTCAGTCAACATCCCTATAATGATACGAGGGTCCATGTTGATTAGTTTATTGACCATTGTGTAAAATATACTTTGAAAATTCACAGCTTCCACCATACTTGTATGATGCAAACGTTAGCAGCAATCATTTTAGATGTTTTTATCGGTACAATTTACTCTCTATCACCATCACGTCTTAAGACATTCAATATTTTTTTCTTTTCATGGCAACTCCTCTCGTTAAGTATGATTAGTTCTGATTTACAGGTCTCTTTCGGTGATAAAACATTATCATCACCATGATTTATCGAAATCAAGTGGGCGTCAACCCTTCTTGTTTGCAATTGCGCCTCTAAAATTGACACAGCACCTGCTTCTTCGCAAGCACTACCAACTGTCCCATCAAAGTTGCAAATTACAATATTTTCCACATCTTAGGATAAAACGGAGTCGTAAATACATGCATTTACACAGATTTATTTTGTTTTGTGTTGTTTTGAACTTTTAATTTTTTGAAATATGTCTTCACGAACAATATTTTAAATTCGTATACTTTCTTTATTGTGATATCAAAATTTGATACATGACGTATAATAGTAATTACGTAAATATAAGATATCAAATGCATTTTTATAAAGATTGATAATTGTATTCATTTACATATTTACGAAGTACACATAAAAATAATACTGGAATTTACAAGCACTATATGTACAAAGCACCATGTGAAATACAGTGTACCGTTATATGTTATATTCTTATATACATGTACATGTTTATCAAAGAAACAATGACAACACTATCGAGTACAGAATATTAGCATTTACAGAGACACATTAAAATGGATATTTTGATGATGTGAACATTTTCTCCTCCGAACATCTAGTGTCAGCTATAAAGTATTAATAAACTAAAATGGAGAAAAATATCTCCAAAACAATTTAGGAAAGCTATATACGAGATACATTACGGATGGAATGATATGATCTTAGGGTTGAGAAGAACAGAAAATATCTGTTTTTAATCACCCCGCTCTCTCTGCTTTTGATTTCCTTCGGTACTGTTTTCAGCCATTTTCATTGCTATCTAGGTAATTTAGTCAGATTAAAATAGAGGCATACAAAGGATGTTTACTCCGAAGATCAAACTTCAGGGAAACTAATTCACCACACTAACAAACTAATCTACCTTTTATTAGAATTACACTCAAAAACAGAATTTTTACAATTGATGCTGGCAGGTAATGGAACCCCCTTTCATGAAGGAGGTATTATGTTCAAGTAAACAAATTAATTTGTTTTTTTTCTTTTGGATTATCTTATTAAAAGAAGTAAAGTATTTAAGTGCCAAAAGGGTCTGAATTATAAATAGACTTAACATCTCTTTTACATATATATAAGCTGAGGCAAGCAATTGCCTTCGTGCAAAAAGCACTGATCAAAAGTTTGAATTAAAAGCTGCATTCTTTGAAATAAAAAAAAAACAAACAGTGTAACACTATATATATCCACCCCATAAATATTTAACATATAGCACAATATAAAACAGTAAAAATTGACAAAGAAAATAACATCATTATTGAACTGCAAAACAAAAAACAATTATTTTTCAAGTTTGCACAGCCGTTGCAATACATGTGTATTAATTCACAATGATGTTACAATATTGGACAACTCGGCAAACGACAGGACTTCATACAATTATGTGATCAATTCAGAATATTTTTGTTGCCTGTAAAACGACAGCTGTAACAAAACAAATTAATTTTAATCCCCTTTGACACAAAGGAGCTATGCTATTTTGTTCAGTTTTTAAAATTCTCACTTTATTATGGTGAACTCAAGAAAACAGTTTTCAACATTTTATTCTGTTTTAATGAAAATAGAATTTTAACTTATGGATCAATAACCTAAAACTAAAAACAAGATGTGTTTCTGATCCACATACCCCATACGGCAGCTTATGGCGAAGGTTCAAGTTTCTCAAATATGCAAGTCAATTTCCAAAGTCAACACATCGAAAAAATTTCACCCAGGGCAAGGTCTTGTCACAATGAAGATATATAATTATATACATGTATATAATTAAGTATGAAAGCCCTGGCACTTACTAATCAAAAGTTATTACCAAAGTGAAAGTTTCAGTTGGTAATTTTTTGTAAACTTGGTTAAACTGTCAAGGCCAGGAGGTCATCTAAGTCCACGGGGCATATCTCTGCCTAAAATTGCTCGATCGTACCCAACACAGAACTTATCTTATGATTAAGTATACCAAATTTCATTTTAGTATGTGCAACCTCTGCGAAGAAAATGATCAGAAACTGTTGGTGGACCGACACACAGAGCGACCGACCGACAACAGCAAAGCCCTTCTTCGAAGTGAGGCATAAATATGAAAGTCATAGCTCTATCCAATCCAAGATTATGGAAAATGTTTAAGTTTTTCGAGACAAACATAGAGACAGATGGACACGGCAAAAACTATAAACCCCGGATTTTTTTTTTTCATTACAGGCCATGGTAAAAATAAAAGAAATATCAAAAAAGCACTTGAGAGTAATGAATGCAAACAAATTAACAAAACGTCTGTGCTTTGACAAAAAATGACGATGCTTTTGATTAACATATCTCTGTTCTGTTGAAAACCAAATTTAGAACTTCTTTGATTTTTTGTTACCTCGTCTAAAGAGCCTACTGAGAAATTCAAATGGACCTATAAAAGATGGAACACGCAGTGAATGTGATTTCCGGGTGTCTAATTTCAGAACCGGTTCCGGTAAGGACGGATTTAACTTGTAACGGATATGATCAATAGTCCCCACCAATAGCTCGTCCACGTTATGGTTCAGTGCGGCTGATGTTTCGGTGTACTTAGCATCAAACTGATGGGCCATTTCCAGTGCTTCTGCAAATGAAAAATAATGCAATGTAATAGTCGTAAGAATGCACAGCTTCTACCAGTTACAAATTAAAAAAACACATATTGTCATGGCCATTAACAATACAGCTCTAATTTCAGTATGAAAGCATAATCTTAAACTTTACTTGAAAAAATTAAAGATTGGGATGTTGGGGTACAAGTTTATGAAGCTACTTGATATTATGTGAATAAAATTGGTTATGATAACAGACAGTGATTTCAAAAAATCCGAAAATGATACGAATCGTGAAAAGGCTAAACTCTGAAAACACTACAGAAAGAACCGGGCGCGAGAAGGTGTAAACATTCCCTGACGATCTGTCACCCACCCTGGGCCCCCTGTATTGATTAGGTACACAGAGTATTCAGTATTCAAACCGGTTTTTAAAAAACAAGTCTAACAATAAGTTGGAATCATGTCAGTCACAAAACGACCTAACGAGTGCTATATTTTCAAAACGAGCTAAGATCATTTAAATATTCATTTAATTTGCACAAAATTTCCTTCTTAAAACGATTTTGTTGAAACCCTGTAATATCATCTTATTTGTCATTAGCATGCATCTTTTAAAAAAATTGAAAATCTATTGAGTATTTATAAAAAAAAAATTAGTAGGAAGAAATAAACACCATTGAATATCAGTATAATTATGTTAAATTGTGTTTTACTGTAAGCATTTTCATGTAAACATTTCCTTTGTAATCATTTTGATTAAAAATAATTCTTTTTTTAGTTATACGGCCCTGATCATTTTCAGTTACGACGGTTTGTTTGAAGGAAAAACCAACACCTGCATAAGTAATTACCGACCAGTTTTCATTGTTTTGGTTTTTTTTTCTTGAATAATCATGGATCAGCTTCAAGCAGACGTTTCACTTTCACCTGCATGCTACACCTGGTGTGATAAGTTGCCAAATCCTTAAGAGCAGACAAGAAAGAGATCATTTTTCTAAGTTCAATGGATACTTGAAAAATCACGACTGCTTACAGTTAGCTTCAAAAGAAGAATTGTTTAATTTTTATGTATAAACTTATACAATGGGTCCATTGAGTTTGTACTGACGCTTATGTTTTCTGTGAGCATACAGTGACGTAGATAGCGAACTTCTGAGAATGTTAGGGTGCTGTATGTTTGCTTTCAAATGTAAACTATCGACCCCTGCAGATGATAGATCATTTTCATCTTTGCTAAAGATTAACTGCGTAAATTGACATTTTAACCACACAAATCGCAACATATCTAAATAAAACATATATATACAGAAAAACGAAAATGATACTGATTGATACATATGCATTGCAAAAACCCACTACCAATTGCTCTTACAGCTGGATATAGAAGGCAATCTTGTATAAGCATAGCTTTAAAGTGACCTTTTCTGGAAAGCTGAGAGTGAAAGAAAATAAATTCAAAGTTATATACTGTATATAAAGAGAAAAAATTAGATGGGAACAAACAGAGCTCAAAGATCGAAATAATTGCTTGATCTTTGGGGGAAATGGCACGTAGAACATACAAACTGCGTGAAGTCTTCATCTTTTCACAACATTCTGCCAAAACCGCTGTACTGTTCTCACTATTTTGGTCTGTTAAAATTCATCATGTTAGGGCCCTCTAACGAGGAACATGTTCAAGTTAATTGGTTCAAATATTTGACTGAATTCCAGATCGCTCTTATTAACCTCAACAAAAATTAGTTACAACAAAAATGCATATGAATTCGATTTTTTCCCATCAATTGCTGAAAATAACCTTTTTATTATAATGTTCTTTTATCGCACATGGAATCAAGCGTGTTCGACCTTTTCATTTGTTGTATCAACCCAAGAGTGTACGTCTCAAAGTGCATGTATATAGCGCCTATCTTGTAGAGTTTTATGGCGAATTGATTGCTATCAGTTTCTTTCTTAAAATTATCTTAGAAAGATAATATAAACTCCTTTAAATACGTCATATTAAATCTACTTCAACTTTGTGAATTTAAGTGCATTCGCTAGTTTTAAAAATATTTAATATTTTGAAACACAGTTCATGTACCAGCAATGTTAATATAAATAGATTCCAAAGAATATTTTTTGAGATCAACAGATCTTAGTATAAGAATAATGGCCGCGAGGCATCATTGAAATGACTAATACACCGTATAATTCAGGAGATCGGCAAATTTCTTTTTCCAGTTCAAATCCCCTACAGAGAGAGATGTCAGCCTGTGAAATAAAGATACAATGCTTGAGCTTCAATCATCAAAAGTGATGATCCGTATAGTTTCAATTTGCCGCCATTTGCAAGTTAAACTATTTTAAGGAGCAGTGTGGCAACGCACTGAGAAGAAATTACGCACTTTGAAAAAAATTTTTCAAAGTGCGTTAAAATTGGGACAAAATCAACGCGCTTTGAAAAAAAAATTCAAAGTGCGTTAAATTTGGGACCAAAACATTTTTTCAAAGTGCGTTAAGAGTCTACATCAATATATTTTACCATGGAGACACTTAACGCACTCTGAAAAAAAAATCATGTTTTAGTCATGGAAAGATATTATTTGTTATTTATCTTTCAAAAAACTTAGCCTAACCCTAACCTCAAAAATGAATTGATTTACCCCCGTCGAAAAGAGGAGAAGACGGGTATAAGATCCCTCAGTCCAAATCTTTATCTTTCCAATACATAGGTGTCGGTAACAAACGGGGGAGGGGAGCAATAAACATAAAAAGGGTACGCTGCATTTTCAATGTTTATACGATGTATATATCTTTCCAAAATAAGTGGGGGGCTGAGCCCCCCATCCACTCCCCTGGACCTTCGCCCAGTCTCGATGTCTATGTTATACTCAAAGCATTCATATAATGATGTATTTACCTTACTGGTATGACGTTGAAAATTTTCACTAATAAATGAGTTAATCACAACAGATGAAAACTAGAAGTTTTTAAGTACAGTAAAACGTTTGAGAGAGAAAGAATTTTCATAGTTTTGAACAATCAAAATAGCCCCTTTTTATTATGATAAATGCTAAGTTGCTTGAAGCTTTCCTCTATTAATGCCCCCTATGACCTTTACATCTACTTATCAAAGACTAAAATTAAAAAAAAAAGAAAGAAACGAATAAATGAACTTAAACAATCGTCACTCTTTTTTTCAAGACCCTTTAATTTTCCCCTTTATTTTATCAAAACCTTAAATATTTAAAACGTCAATATCTCAGGTCCTACATGTACACCAACTTTATCATAAAAAAAGTTATCAAACCAGGATCTGTTATTTATCATACCGATTATTTGAAGGAATATTGATCAATCTTTACATTTTTTTTCAAAATGCGTTAATATGGTCGATATTAACGAACTTTGAAAAAAAAATTATTTTTTTCAAAGTGCGTTAGCTTGGTCCCAAATTTTAACGCACTTTGAAAAATGTTTTCAAAGTGCGTAATTTTTCAAAGTGCGTTGTAACAGAGCAGGCAACTTTGCTTTTTTGGGTTCTTTCATGCATCACGAAGTCTATTGCCGCATACATCACAGCATATTATATGAGTAAATCTAGCGAAATGGGATATAGTCAATGAGGCTAGAAATTGACCTACGCCACATTTTATTCTTAGACAATTTTCTACCGAATAATCATAGTATGTATTTCAAAATTTGCTTAATTTTGCCAGTACGGGTCTTAGTATGCAGCTTTACGTCAGTCGACAAGTGCTAAAGTCGAAATAGAATGGAAATGTACAAAGGGCTGTAACGGTGTAAAGCAAACAAGCCAAAAAAATTCAGTCAAAATAGTTTTGAATCCTCTGTACGTTTCTTTCATTTCTCAATTTACTTCAAGACCACAAAGTTGAATTTCCTCAATACAGGTGACGACTGTGTCTGAGTTTAAGGCCACTGACATTGTCTTCGGATCACCACGCGTTCAATGCCATGCAACTGGAAACCCAGCCTACCCACAATTTCAAGTAAACAGCTCTATCAGGTAAAGTTTTTCATACCTAAGCTTGATAAACATGATAGGAGTGTGTATAAAAAAAAGAAATCTAGAATCCTGCATTTTATATCTGTTAACTTTTGATATCCAATGACCATTATGGCAGAGAGTAAGAGAGGCCCTCTGGTTCTGGGGCCATAAAACCTAGATGAGCATACTTTAGATAGTCTCACTTTTAAACTATATATTCCTTTTGTAAAAGTTCGACTGGGCTCAAAAGTGAGCTTGTCTAAGTTTTATGCTCACGCCGCAACTTTTGATCTCAGTCTCACTTTTTCAAAAGGGATTAATAGTGGAAAAGTGAGATTTAGATCAAAAGTGAGCTCATTTCAGTTTTATGGCCCCGATGCATGGTTTCAACCTAGGACACTCGCTATGATTTATCTTCAATTCAAATTTTGACCTTACCTTCAGTTGTAACCTTGCGTTTCCTGACCAGGTCGGATTTGTTCCCAACTAGAATGGTGGTCCTGTCGGTCCCAAGGTCCATGCGCAATTCCTGGAGGAGCTGTACCGCGGCATCGAACGTATCTCGATGTGCGATAGAAAATATCACTAGGAAAGCATCAGCCCGAATGTCCTCTAAACTACCCTACAATAACCAAGTCAACATATCATTTAATTAAATGGATTTATAATAAATCTTTCCATACATGCATATACGTACACAGCATGTGAAAACTTAAGTGAAATAATAGACTTAAAAGCTTTCTTATTTACTTTCCATATATTAACTACTATACATTTTTATGCATGTATGTGTGGAAGAAGTCTATAGCAAGGTCTACATTACTCCTTCTAATGACTAATTAAAAGTTTTCAAAATAACTTTCAAACTCTTATACTTTAATCAAAAGAGATTTTCGATAAACATGTACATTGTACTTCTGTATGTAAGTGATCAGGTTTGATACAGATGCAAGAAAAAGAAAATTGTCATGTTTATATAGATTATCAAATGTAACCGAATTTAAAGGCTTAACTAGTGCCTAAAGTCTGCCATTTATGGTATACATGTAAGTTGTTCTCGTTTTAGATGTACCTGTATATCCGCGCCGTCAAGAACTTCTATAGTGGACTCAACTCCATTCAGTAATACACAGATTGTTTTCTCGTGTTCTCCTTGATCTGTAATAGAAGGGAAAAAATAAAAAAAAATGCCTGGGGAACTCAAAGGTCACATAATATGAAGAGTTTTATCCTTTTTATGTTATGACTCGAAGATAGAGAGCTATGTTAATAACAGCAATTAATTATTGGTATTTTGTTGGCATTTTCTTTAATGTTTGTTCATACTGCTTTTATTGCGCCGCAGAGTGGGTGCTTAGAGGGCTAATGTTTTGAGTTTTCTTGATTCCATATTACTGATATAAAATTCCAATTCGGTCACTTGTTAGTTTAGATTTGGGTGATTCATGGGGTTATTTTTAAATTTCTTGCAACCGTAAAATCTAAACAAATTGGGTTTTGCTGGGCTATTGCCACGTGTATAAATATCGGAAGAAAATGGCAGCTTGTAAAAACAAAATCATCCACTTTCTGTCCGTTGGTAACAATTCAGAGGTAGGAGACATTCGCCTGTCAAACTGTATTAGTTTAAAATGATAAAACATCATTTCTTTTGATTCCCTGCCCGACTTGGGGCAGGTTTTGTTGATATTTTGTGTCAGACAGAAGAGATTGATGGTGTGTTTACACGTGCTTGTCTTGCTGAACACCAAGAGCTTTTTAGCATTGGTATTTCAGAAATTCGTATTGCCCTAAAATATTGGCAAATTTCACTTCTTTGAATTCATCAGCCATCATGTATATCTAAATATCATGCTATTGAAATGTATGTATTTTTCTTCAATTTCTTGAAATTGTAAGCATAGCAGGTCTTTTCGAAAACAGTTTTGAAAATATAACACAGATATATAACATTTCTAATTTTTAAATTGCAATTATTTAGTTGTTTTTTTTCATCTGATGACAAAATATGTTGCTAAGATGTTAAAAAAAAAATGTATGTTCATCTTAATAAAATATATGATTAATACCGTCCACCATGATTTTCCTCCATTTTTGTCATTATAATAAGTATCTACTTTTTTCTTTTTCTGTTCTCCTTCACTTTCATTTGCTGTATAAGCATTTCAAATACATGTACGTGTACCTCTGACCTAAATTTATGTACTGTAAATGTTTTACATTGTCCTCATGTACCATAATTGTTTAAACGGTTTTCAATTAATATAGGGTCTTGCAGCTGGGAAAACCTTTTAAACTATATTAATAATAAAAGGATTGAAACTATCTAAATTGACTGAATGTGTGATGTGCCAATATTAATTAATATAATTGTTAATACATGACCCTTTGCAAAGGACACAACGATACATATTTGTGTCTCAGTTTATTTGTTTATTTATTTCTTAAGTCATATATGACTTATCAGATAACATAATTACAAAATACAGGATGAAAAGCACAGAATTAATATACTAGTACACAAATGAAATATTTACATATACTTCTTTTAAGTTAATACTGCTTGTTGTATACAATATTTCCAACCAAACATAGAAAAAATACTCAGTTTACAGATGTAAATCTCTAAGTGCTTCTGCTTTTTGGAGGAATTTCCCTATATTACAAAGTTCACTCACATTTTCAGTTGATAATAATTGTAATAGTTTATACATCCTAGGTCTATACTAATACTGAGTAATACTTTTTAATATACAATTTCCTGTACTCATGATAAAGTGGACATTTTAAAATAAAATGGTAACATTACAAATATACGAAATCTCAAACATGTCAAAGGAATCTGAATCTTTTACAAATCAACCAAAAAAAGTTTTTCGTTCATTTTGCAACAGGTTTCATGCATGTAGGACATGCATCAGAAAGCATACTGGCAGGTAATTTCATTCATTTGAAAAAATGCTGAAATCTTTTCTTTGTGTTATATAGATCAGTGGGTCAATACGCAGTTTCTTAATCTAGTTTCCTCCCAAACCCATTACATTATCCTTGAAGAGAATCTCTGATTCGAATTAAAATTACTTCTGGATCTCTAACAGAATCTAATTTTGGATGCTGGGTATTGAAAGTGTAAAGAACTGATAGAGTTTGATGATTGTAAAGTAGGCGTCAAGTTCATATCCCCTTGATACAACCCTTCTTTACGTAATCAACCGAAAATTACTCATCTCCAAATGTTTCCCGATATAACGAACCTCTTGGCCTCTTTTGAATGCTTTAGTTCTCAGGTAATCGGAAACCTTATCGTCTGATTTCAAGCCTCACATATTTACTTTAATTAACTACATGACCAAGAATGTCTGCGATAGCCATTGCAAAGAGCGTCAGTACTGGAAAACAAACGGAAATCCCGACCTTACATTATTGCAAATCATCCTTCTCTTTTTACAAGGAAAACAATATTAATGCAATTGTATCTTTTTATCATAAAAGTGATGATTATACTCAGCAAAATTGGTTAAGGCAATAGCAAATTGTAAGACTTCAGTGTCGTACTCGTTAGCGATGAAGTGTCGAGTATACGGAGTCTCAGATGGCCCTCCTCCAGTAAACAAGTGTAGGCCCTCCTTGTAGAAACCGTACAAAGTTTCTCGACAATTAAATATCTAATGACTACACCAAAACGTGCAAAACAAAGCACTTGAGACACAGATAGAAAAACGCAAATATCTACCGGACACCGAACCCGTAAGGAAACTGGAGAAAATTAACGATACAGTGAGTTTGAAATACATGAAAGCATGTGATTTCAGAATATTATGCATCCATTTCTGTCATTTGTAGTTTCTTGCAGAAATCCTTGCCTTCCGGTGTTATGGTTTTGATTTAATTCAAAGTTATCGTACCACATATTGTATTGGTTTTCAAGTTCAATCATTCAGGAAATATATTTGTTCAGTCCAGTAACATTTCTGACGTCATTGACCATCACGATTTGTGGATTGTCCAGAAGATTTAATTCTTAGATATGATGTGATCTTTCCGTTTAATCATCTCCCTATACACTAGAATTAGATGTTTATTTTTTATGTCGATCAGTCTGACAGACTGCGATAACATGACCAAGAGCCAAAAGTTAACCTGTCAATCACGCCATAATAAGTGAGTAGCTCGGAATGCAAAAACGCACATAGACCGAAAAAATCAACTATCTGTAGCTTGGCAGAAACCAGTGACACAGAAAAGGACGCAATGTAAGTCGGGTAATAAATGGAAGTAAAGAATATATTTTGAGAATATAAAAAAAAAATAAATGAAATAAACAAACAAAAAAGCATGGGGATGCCTTTTTTTTCCGAGTACATGTAGAACGTTTTTTAAGCTAACAGATAAAGGGTAGGGAGATAGAATTTAGGCTTGACGCCGTATTTTGTCTGTTTAACTGTGTAAAAATGGATATTATGCCTGCCATTTCCAAGAAACCATTTACCCCAGAAAACATTTGTGCACTTTACCACGCTCGATATAGAAGCCTCCTAGTGTGTGATTGGCTCTATAATTCTGTAATCGCTTCCTTACTAAATTGCTTGCCATTTTTGTGTCTTAATAAAAATATTCTTTTATTTTTTTTTATTTTTTTTTTTTTGGTTTCTTTTAGCTTATTTCAATTAAATACCGCAAACTCCCTTGGTGATTTAGTTGATGACGTCATGTCAAGGCAGGATTAGATGGAACATGTTTTAAAAAATTAAGACAAAAAACAAAAAAATGAAATGTCAAAGGAAAGACTTCGAAATGGAATACAATTTAACTTGATCTTTACGAATTTAAAGGTTGTGACATGCTGCACATTGCATGATCATCAACATGACAAATGACGTATGGAGACAATCATGTCACATGTATTCACAAACATTGAAGAATACAAGGAATCTTATAAATCTTTTATTGTTGAAACCCTATCTCGACTTCTTCTCTAATACATCTCATTAACGCTGTACTAATGATACGTGTTTCTCGTTAATTAAAGTCTACGTATATCAAAGACCTTTTAAATTACCACAATTTTTGAATCGATAAGAAGAAAATACTTTTTATTGACAGAGATCAAAAGTAACTCACCCAAGGAAGAGTCGAATGCAATGTACTCGGAGGTCATGAACTGATTGGTGATTGCCGTTTTCCCGACACCGGGAGGTCCTAGAGCCACTATTTTAAAGTAAGAGGGGTTATTGTCAACTTCCAAGGGGGGTCTGGGAGTTAACCGCGGACTTGCGGACAAGTGTGGGCTGACGTTGGGCGTTAGGCCACGGGGTGGGCTCTCTTTCCCGTACCCACTACACCTTCCCCCCTTTTTCCGAAAAGAGTCCCCTCTGTTCACCACGCCTTTTGATGTTGTCTTAAATGATCGGACCCTGCGAAGGTTTGCATCCGGTTTTCCACGACCAATGTCCTCACATGACACTGACAGTAGATCGGGGGAACTCCCGGACGCTCCCCCACGGTTCTCATCACACACCTGAGGACCGATTCCTCGATTCCTATACTTTTCCGCTTTTTGTCTTAACTCCCCGGGTTCTCTAAATGATCCGCCTCTAATAACACCAGGTGTAGGAGGAAGAAGTCCGCTCGAGGCGTCAGTTCCTCGTGTACCCCTTTGCTCTCTTACACTATTAGATCTCGAATGTGATCCGCCACTGAAATCGTTGGGCTCCAGGAGGAGGGGTGTCGTTTGTTCCATCCCTGAACCCGTGCTGGAATAAGAAGAAACACTAGCCCCACGTGGATAATTTTGTCCCCTCGCAGAACCGTGGATAGTCATTGTATCAGACAATTCACAGATTATATTTTATTTATTCCGCAATGGAAAAAAATTCACTACATATTGTCCTTGGTTTGGTTTGCAACCGTTATAAGTAGGATTCCTGAAGGCAGTGTATCATAGTGTGTTATCTGATGCGCGTGAAGAGAGCTGAGATACAAGCAAGATATTGGCCTTCTCCTGACAAACTGAACGCACTAAGACGAAGCGCTTCCCTCTATGTAAGCTCCAAATGCTACAGAAGTTGGACGTGCGCTCACGTGCTGGAACTTTAAAACTTGTCTTGTGTGGTCGCCAAATGCTCAAATTGAATTTAATAAACAAACGCTGGGAGATCAAAACTTGGTTTTTCCTCAAGATTCAAAGGAAATGGGAAAAGATTTCTCTCAATCATCATCGCATCATCTGCTAACTGTAATTTAATCTTTTTACTGTAAATGATTACAGAGTAATTGTTTTTGTTTTATTTTCAGGTGTTGCAGGTGCGCCTTATTTGTCTTATATTGAGAACAAGTTTAACACGGTTTGACATTCTGTTATGATACTTCTGTTATATATATGCTATGGAAAAAGTTTTCTTCTTCTCAGTTTGGTTTTTTAATAATAATATATTTGTTTTTATATATTAGGATTATTGGCGATTATAATTGAGCTATTTGGTATCCATAACTTCAGATCATGTATATTAGACAACTTATTAAAACAATAATGTTTCCCTTGGAAATTCAGTTTTGAAAGGAAACAATAATCAATATGGAATTAATTATTTAAATTTCAATTATTTGCGACCTAAAGAATCTTTCAAGCGAAATCTAGTTTCATTCATTCCTTTGACGATGAATATATTTCTTATCGGAGTGATTCAGATTTATTATTGTTTCTTTGTAATAAGTTTACGCCTATTATAAAACTTGTAGCAAATCGATTGCATAATTTTATACAGCTTTAGTAAAAATCCTGCCAAATTTTTAAGCACATTACTTCACGTTACCTCGAAACTGTTTACATACACACCCAAGTAATATACTGGGACGGAAACGCATGACGTCATGCGTGTAAAGGTCATTGACTACATCTGGGACCTTATTCACAAAGCATCCGTTAGATAACGGGTCCGTTAACTTTACGGAGACTCTGACGGTTGTGACCGTAAAAAACTAACGTGGTATTCACAAACGTCTCCGTTAACGTTCACTTTACGGGTGCGGTAATAACGGGTCCGTAAAGACAAATTCTATGTATCTGCAACTCTCATTGGTCGAATAAATCGATTGTTTTGTCACAGTGTTGTTTTTCTAAATATAATCTTAAAATGTATAATTGACAAGAAAATTAAAAAAAAAAAAAGTTATTTGTTTCTTATTCATTCCTCCTTTTCTACTATGACGTAAGTTTCCAAGCAACGTGCGTTGACGTCATTTTTTCCAAAATTTGACGTCTTTGGGGTTAGACAACTTAGAAAATGGAAAAAGAAAGAAAAAGAAAACCGAGGTTCTTGGACGGAGAAGTCGACGTACTGATAAACAAAGTCAATGAAAAATCGGACGTGCTGTTCTCAAAATTTAGTGACACGATTTCTAACAAGAAAAAGAAATTGGCTTGGACGGAGGTTCAGAACTCGGTCAACGCTTCATCACTTGTCCCAAGAACAGTGGACGAGATTAAGAAAAAAATGGGACGACGTGAAGAGAGTAACAAAGAAGCGTGCTGTAGAAGTCAGAAAGGTATCGTAGTCTATCTAAGTATGATATTAGATTTATTGTATCCACACCATGTAAATTTTATAAGCACAAGGCCTAAAATAAAATTAAGTTTGTTTGCAGTTGCCGACCGACCCACTGAAAATGCACCCGACCCAAACTTTTTTTTTTTTAGCCATTTGGTAATTTTATTTTTTTTTTCTTCAAATTTTCAAATTTTGACACGTTTTTTATCATTCGGTAGTTTATAACAAGAGGTGAGCTTATTCATGTCTAGTAGGTGTATGAAAACGTCTTTTAATTGTTATCTAACAAAAATCTGATTTTTTTTTTCCAAAAAAAAAAAGAATGCCTACCTACCGACCCAGTCTAAAAATTATAGGTCGGCAACTGCAAACAAAGAATTTTTTAAGCTTGGCCCAGTTCGGATCTGATGATTTTTATTGCATGGCATATTTATTACCACTAGTTAAGTCTCTCTCTCTCTCTCTCTCTCTCTCTCTCTCTTATATAAGTGAGAGGTCATACATGTACATAGGTCTAGGGCCCATTTTACAAAAGAACTTACGACTAAGACCAAAAACTTCAGATGATTCTTAAATTTTGCAAAGTTAATAATTCTCATTTAAATTGTTTGTACAATAATATCTTACCTCATTCCTTTTAAAGAGTTTAAAATATATATTATATAATGTTAATTAAATTAAAATGTTATATGAATAATTGAATTTGTGTGTATTTTCAGGAAAGTTTTATATCTATATAATGTAACAAAACAAGAAACATACTCAACGCAAGCGTCAAAAATCGGCCGCAACCCAATTCATTATTTGATGTTTACGCAGTATTTACAATGTATACATTAAAAGTTTAAAACTAGAGTTTTTACTTTAATAAAAACACAACATATATGTGGGTTTCCTTGCTCTATCTTGGAGAAAAAAAGTAAAACAAACAGACAAACAAACCCAAAATACAAACTCCCTTTATATCCGCCACTCCAGCGGGAAAATTCTTGGCACATTGTAAAACACGCCTTATCCTCGTCTGTTAGAAATCTGTCTTTTAATAAATCAACAATTAACCATATTTTCGAACATTCTCCGTAAAAAATGTTTATATAAATTAAACATGTGTACACGTCATAAATACGTACAAGTCCTGTTTAGATAAAAAAAAGTATAATTGTTTATAAATTAATAACGCGGTCTTTGCTTTCGACTATGCCCAACACTTGTCCCCTCAGCCATGTCAAAGTTTGTTAATCAGGATTGGATGAAATATTTACCCTATTGTTTAAAAAAAATTCTAGTTCATTGGTTATTATGCGTTTTTGTTAAACATTAAGACACTCATTTTAATATATTATTATTTGAATGTTAAATATTTTTTATATTTTATTTTATTTTTTTTTTTTTTTTGCCTGACGTCACGGCGTCAATCACTACTAAGGATAAATATTTCCACAGGAGTTCGCGTATCTATCAATTTTGCCGAAATTGTCGGTAAATAAAAAAGATACGTAATAGTGTTATTATTATACGTATTACGCATCTTTTTATTTAATGAAAATTTCGGTATAAATCTAAAATGATAGGTACGCGAACTCCAGTGATATTTCCTAGGTGCGAAGCTAAGAGGTCACAGTTAACCAGCAAAATTTTGTGGATGCTGATTATCATCGGATTTCGTTACATGCGTTTCAGCAATAACAGTTAGCAGAAAAATAACCATATTGCTGAATATTTACATTTCCAATGTCTTTGTCCGAGATAAAATTACCAAATGTAAATGTACTTTATTTCTCCATCAATGTATTGGCGCGGTTCCAAAGAAAAACACGTGCAGGGCGGGACAAACAGACAGAAGCAGGGCTTGGAGCACGTGGATTGGCGGAATCAAAGCATGTAAATATAAGGAATAACTGAAGATGATCAATCGATTGGCTTGCGTGATAATTTTATGCATAAACGCCTTCGGCGTTTATGCAAATCATCATGCAAGCCAGTCGATTGATCACTTCATGAAATCGAAAAATAAGACAGTTATTCCTTAATACAATACATTGATGTATTTATTTTCTTTAGCTTTTTGCCAGCAGCTATTTATTTCATGCGAGTTCTTATACAGACATGTCCGTTTGACCTTTTTTCTGCGTTTCTAAACTACTGGATTAATCCATTTGTCTTCTATGTAAGGGGTGACACAATCATTTCGCGCCAAAATGTCACGTGTATAAGTTTGTGCGTCCTTTTCCTGGACTATTCTATTGAAAGGAAATGAAAACTGCATGTTCTTTTTTGGTCGAGCTTTGAAAAAAAAGTAAGAAACAAGGGGCCCAGGGGCCACATCGCTCACCTGACCAAGAAGACCATATCAGATCAGAACTGAAAGTTTACTGAGGGGGGGGGGGGGCTTGAATTTAACCCCCCAGGGGGTCATGATTTGAACAAACTAGAATCTACACTACCTGAGGATGATTCCCTATAAATATCACGATAGGCATGGCTTTGAAGTAATTGAAAAGAAGATTTTAAAAGGATTCCCTATATATTCCTATGTAAAACTTTTATCGGCCATTTGGCCCCACCCTACCCCCGGGGGTCATGATTTGTACAAACTTGAATCTACACTACCTGAGGATGATTCCACATGAGTTTCATCTTTCCTGGCCCAGTGGTTCTCGAGAAGAAGATTTTGCCGAAATTGTCGGTAAATAAAAAAGATACGTAATAGTGTTATTATTATACGTATTACGCATCTTTTTATTTAATGAAAATTTCGGTATAAATCTAAAATGATAGGTACGCGAACTCCAGTGATATTTCCTAGGTGTCCTCTCACATTTTAGGATTTAGATGGTTTATTACTTTTTTGCTCGTACAAATATTTTTGATGTGGACCGACCTCTCATCCCTAGGAAAAACATCATGAATCCGCGCCTGCTGTCGCCATTCATATATAGCCGTCAAGTTTGTTGGATCATAACCGTTACGATTCTCAATTTCTTACAAGTATATCATATTTTCAGCTGTCGTCCTAAAAACCTATGCTGTATGCAGTTTGAATCTAATTTATGTAACCTTTACATATAGCCATGTTTTCCAGCATTAATCATTACATTAGATTTTTCCTTATTTACTTCATCCTCTAAAACCATCTTTAGACTCGCGGAGAGAGTTTTTCATCTTTATGTCGCGGGTTCGAATCTCTAGCGGGACGTGTACATGATTTAATTTTTTATTTGAGATACAAACAATATCTGCGATTTATATATAAAATGTTTTCTTTTTCCATTGCTCTGATGAGTATCATACAACTTAAAATGAATGCATGCTTTATTCTAGTGAAACAATTTAACACCCCCTCCCCGCAATGTAAACGTTTATAACATCATGCTTATAGGTTCTTTAAATATTGATGGCATTAGTCAGGCAAGCTATTTGAAAAGCTGTTACTTGTATATATTGTTTTATCTCCGCATAAACGCACGGTGACTTCAAACTTTCATATCAAATAACCGACCGCCTTCCGGCGGCTCTAAATAAAGAAGGTCTTTTTCATTTTAGTTTGAACTTATCAAAAATATGCCTTATATTTCGTTAAGCGATTTGTGTATTTAAAGATGTCAGTTTGATAAGTGGCCTAACGTACCCACGAAATGATTGGGAATCCTAATAGATTACTTTATAAAAATACTGCAACATGATAAAAAAAGATGAAAATTTACTACTATAATATAACAAATAAACTGATGGTATAGCAGACATTTTACTTAAGTACAGCTATTTTTAAGAACCAGGCAGAAATGAAAATAAGTGATTCATGATAGTGATAGATTTTTCAAAAACTATCATATTTACATTAAGATACATCAAACTAAATACTTGATCACAGTTATAAATGGATTTCATGCATAGTTGATTAAAAAATGAATTCAATATATACTGAAACAGTCAACAGTATCCATTGAAAGGTGTCTGTACGTGCAGGTGATTTTTTAAGAAGGCCCGCACTATCCTTGAATGTGAATTTTAAAATATTGAACATCTAATATCAAAGAGTAAAAAACAATTAAAAAACCCATGGGTTATTTTAATTACGAATAGATATTGTGATTTTAAATTATGTAAAAACATGAAATTCTAGTTATCTCCCTTGGCACTCTTTAGTAAAAGGAGTTGGAAAGAGTGTATTTAACTCTTCAGTTTAGAAGGGGAGGATTAAGAAATGTGTGTGATTTCATCTTCATTTTGGAAGTTTTGCCAGTTTTCAAACATCCAAGGGGCATGTAAGTCTAAAATTTTTATTAAAAAAATATAATCCTAGGATGAAAAAAATAACTGCCTGCAATTTGCTTAATTTTATCTGACAAAAACAAAATTTCATTTCCTAAACATGCTAAGAGTTTGAGTGTTTTGAAAAAGGCTAACTTGTTCAACAATATCGTCAAAACTACTTAAACTCAGTTAATTTTGGGGAAAACATTTAATTTTATACTGGAATTTGAACAGTGGCTCGCTGCTGGGGATTAGAGTATGATGAGTAATCTCTCCTTTCCGTCGATATTCCCTTAGTACTGCAATATACACAGTCGACTGGAAGAAATCCTCGACCTTGAGCATACATGAAGCCATAGCAAGAAGCAGTGAAAGCCACAGCAGAGATTGGATGCAGCATAATTTTTTCTATGTCTCGGCGCCTCTATGGATGTCATATTTAGATCAGGTATTTAATACATAACGCAGACAAATGTCTAAACAAAGACAATATTAACTTCTTTTTTTTTCAAATTGAAAAAGGGGAAAGTCAACAAAAATGATAGCAAACATACAGGCTGACTGCTAGTAAAAGTTATCAGTCCTGCTAAAATACTACCAGCCTAGCTGAGAAAATAATTGTCTTTTGTAAAATTTATTTTTGAATCTAGAGGAACTGTGAGCAATGAGCAAATGATACCCCCCCCCCCCCCCCCCCCCCTCCCATATGAATATAATAGTGTCCATGTTTTGCTGTAGGAAAATATTTTATTAATAATGTTATACTTTCATACAATACCACTGTTTTTTTGCCTAATTTTATTCTTAAACACATGAAATCTCAGGAGCTTCTGAGGCTTTGCCCCCTGGACCCCCTTCATTCAAACTATGGTATGACTAAACGTATGACTGTACTATGGAACATCACTATCAAGACCCCTTGTCTGAACAATGTTATCCACGCCCCCCCCCCTCCCTTTTAATCACAAATCCTGTACTGCTCATGAAACCATTAGTTGATTTGGAAGCGATTAATCAAATTATTAAATCTTAATTAATGAAAACTTTAAACAAGTCCAGTTGGGCATCAATGTGTGCAAATTGGTAAGCCCACAGCAAAATTTGTGTGTCTCGGGCAGTCAGGCGCACTGTTATTTCAAACACTGTTTACGGAATGGCCAATGGGTCCTTCTTAAAATAGTGAATATTTAACTAAGCCCTAAAAAAAAATCAGATGTTATGGCAAAACCATAATTACTATTTTTCTTATTCATTTAATCAAAATGTAAAATTGTGCCTTTTCAAACTGTATATTTCCAAATTTATATGTGTATGATATTCTTCAAATGCATTTCCTTTTATTTGAATTATATAGAAGGGTGGGGAGCCCTACAAAATTTAATTGACAAGCAAAACAACCAATAAAATACTGTTATGGTTTTATCAGTTGAAACGGGGGGAGGGGGTGTTAGAGCCATAAAACCCTATCCGAATGGGGGAGGGGGGCTTCCCAAATATTCCTACAAGCAAATATATACACACATAGAAAGAGAGAGATTTATAAATATGAGAGCACATACAATATGCATGGGTTTCTGCCAATTTTTTCATCTAATTTAGGATTAAAACTTAAAATATAAAATTTGATCCTACAAAACAAGAACTCTTTTTCAATTTATAACTAATAGTATGAATTCATGATGATAACATTAGTACATGGGGGAGTGGGGGAGGTAAATAAATATTTTTTATCAATAACACAAAAGCTAAATTGTTATATAAATGTATGCATTCTCTTGTCATATGATGAATGTCATGATTTGTTATCATTTCAGATGCAATCTGAGCCTTGTTCTGAATTTCAAAATCCCCTTTGACAACACCTGCACAGCTGAGGTAGTGTAAACTTAAAAATTGAGGACAACCAAAGAATCACCAAGAAAAGATTATCAATTCAACTAACGTTAGTGTTACATATACTTTATATTATTTATGTACCATTAGATAATTCGGTATTTTGTGTTGACAACTTGCAGTTTTTAGCTCACTTGAGCTGAAAGCTCAAGTGAGCTTTTCTGATCACGTTTTGTCCAGCTTCCATCTGTTTAGGTGTCCGTCTGTCTGTAAACTTTTCACATTTTTGACTTCTTTTCAAGAACCGCTGGGCCAATTTCAACCAAACTTGCCACAGAGTATCCTTGGGTGAAGGGGATTAAAGTTTGTTCAAATGAAGGGCCACGCCCTCATTCAAGGGGAGATAATTGGGAATTAATGAAAATTTGGTGGCATATTTTAACCAGAAGTCTCTGTCGAGACTGTACCTCTACTAGTTTGTACTTATCAAAAACCATTGTACTATTTTATGTATCTTTGTGTAGTCTACTTGTGTACCAACTTATTTTGAAATCAAACTAAAACTGTAGGAGTAGCGTTTTAAAGGAATTTCAAAGAAAATTCTATTTTTAGTAACCATGGCAACACTGTTCATCGAAATAAAAAAACGATGTACTATTCTATGTATCTTAATGTAGTCTACTTGTGTGCCAAGTTAAAATTAAATCAGACCAAAACTGTAGAAGGAGAAGCGTTTTAAAGGAATTTCACAGAAAATTCTATTTTTAGTAACCATGGCAACATCATTCATCGAAATCAAAAACCGATGCACTATTCTATGTATCTTAGTGTAGTCTACATGTCAGCCAAGTAATATTGAAATCAGACCAAAACTGTAGGAGGAGTAGCGTTTTAAAAAATTGTTTACAGACGGACAGACAGACAGACGGACGGACGACGGACGCATTACTATCGCATAAGCTCTTCTGGTCTCTGACCAGTAGAGCTAAAAATCTTCTTCTCAAGAACCACTGTGCCAGGGAATATAATTTATTGAAACTTATGGGGAAACATCCTCAGGTAGTGTAGATTCAAGTTTGTCCAAATCATTACCCCCGGGGGTAGGGCGGGGCCAAAATGGCCGACCAAAGTTTTACATAGAAATATATAGGAAAATTCTTTAAAAATCTTCTTCCCAAGAATGACAAAGCCATAATTCATCATATTTATATGGAAGCATGCTCAGGTTGTGTAGATTCAAGTTTGTTCAAATCATGACCCCCAGGGCTAGGGCGGGGCCAAAATGGCCGACCAAAGTTTTACATAGAAATATATAGGAAAATTCTTTAAAAATCATTTTCTAAAAAATAGCAAATCCATGATTGGTCATGGAACTACTTTTGGATTTAAACTTTACAATAAAAAGCCATTTTCTACTTTTCCTACCCTTAGTGCTCAGGTGAGCGATGTGGCCCATGGGCCTCTTGTTTTTAATTATCATTAAGAACATTCCTTTTCGTTTAGCAATCAAGGGCCTAGGGATCCGGGTTAGAATAGGTCCTCAGTACCCCCTTGCTTGTCGTAAAAGGCGACTAAATGGGGCGGTCCTTCGGATGAGACCGTATAAACTGAGGCCCCGTGTCACAGCAGGTGTGGCACGATAAAGATCCCTCCTTGTTCAAAGGCCCTGAGTGCCGAGCATAGGCCTAAATTTGCAGCCCTTCACCGGCAATGGTGACGTCTCCATAGTGAAATATTCTGGAGAGGGACGTTAAACAGTATACAATCAATCACTCATCTTCTGACTAAGGGCTTAATTATAGTGAACACTACCATTCAGAGACTTTGAAACAGGTATATATTTCTTCTGATCTTGATTCTCTGAATTTTTTAGCTCACCTGAGTTGAAGGCTCAAGTGATCTTTTCTAATCAAAGTTTGTCTTTTGTCTGTCATTGTCATTCTTCAAGGGGAGAGAATTACAAAATTAATAGCATTACATGTACTGATATCTTCTCAAGAACCAATAGCCCAGGAAATATGAAACTTATGTGGAACCATTGTTGGGTAGTGTAGATTCAATTTTTTCAAATCATGAACCCCATGTGTAGGACGGGGCCACAACGGATGATCAGAGTTTAACATAGGAATATATAAAAAAAAAATATTTTAAAATCTTCTTCTCGGATACAGCAAGCCTTGATTGGTAATATTTATATGAAAGCATTTTCAGGTGGTGTAGATTCAAGTTTGATCAAATCATGACCCAGGGGATAGGGTGGGACCACAAAGGCCAATCAAAGTTTAACTAAGAATATAGAGAAAAAATCCTTTAAAAATATTCTTCCAAAGAACAGAAAAGCCAGTAAGTTATATGTACTTATGGAAGCATTTTCTCGAAGTGTAGATTTGTTCAAATCATGACCCCCCCCCACCCTCCCCTCAGGTATAGGGTGGGGCTACAATAAAAGTGTTCAAACTTGTAGGGAAAAACTCACAGTTAGTCAAAAATAAGTACCCTGTAAGCATCCTTAGTGTAGATTCAGTTTTGTTCAATCATCTCTCTCTCTCCCTTACATGGAGAGGTCACGACCATGTATGCTTTTAAGCTTTTCAATACAAAGCTGATTTTTTATTTTTATCCAAGCCAGGTGAGTGATGTGGCCCTCTTGTTAAATCATTTATCTACACATATATGTACAGTACAACTCAGTTATAACAAACTAGGACCTGTAAAAGTACTTCGTTATATAATTTGTTATATCCATATTTGTAATTTTGTAATATTTATATAGTTGGAGATCCAAGAAGACTTCTTTTAATTCACAATGCCTGTGTTTGTACTAAACAAGTTTTACTGCTGTTACATGTATGTGGAAGCCAAATAGGAGTAAAAGATGTATTATTGTATGTCATCTTCATTATTTTGTTCAATCCATACAAATGTTTCTTTGAATATTGGAAACTAAAATCAGTAGAAAGTTAGAAATTAAAATCTATAAAATGCAGCATATCTAAACAGAATTTTTGTTGTTGAAAAAAAACCTTTTCAGATGAGCAAGGCTGTAATAGTTATACTTATATTCAGAATCAAATAACAGCTAACTACTTGAGGCAAGGATGGGTGAGGGTTAAAGAAGGGGTTACATCACTTGAAAATTTAGAGAAGAATTGTAGAGCTGAGGTTTTTCTCAAGAACCACAGGGCTAATTTTTACCAAACTTGGCAGGGCTAATACCCCTTACAAGGGGTGATAATCAAGAAAAGAGAAAAAATAGGGAGCCACTGGGTCAGAAAAGCTGAAACTCTTGTGTTAAAGCATCCAGGGATTACGTGTAGATTCTAAATTGTTTAAATCATGTCCCCCTCCTCCTAAGAATAGACCTAAACCACAATAGGTATTACAAGTATGAAAATCTGGTGTAGAACAGAATGACCAGTTACTCTGGTGAGTGTTATGGACCATGGCCTTCTTGTATTCATGATCATGAGCATAGAGAAAACGAACCTTGGCTACTCTCCTCCTTCAACAGCAACAAGAAAAAATTGCTTTACAGAATGCCTATTTTCATTAACAAAGTATATTTTTTTCCAGATAGATGAATGAACCACATGCATTATGTCAGAGGAATCTAGCCGGAGCACCTATTTAGCAGCCAGGACACATAGATGTACCTGTGCAGTTGATACAGATAATCTCAACAGCACATTTCTAAATGATGGCCAAAAAAATCTAATAAAGACACTGTCAGTTTAAAACTTTTTGAAAGAAATCCAGACCAGAAACAAAGGATATTGATTTTTAAGCTCCTCCAAATGTAAAAGGGGTTTTATTGAAGCCAAGACCAGGATACACCCAAGGATATTTAATATTACACCCCTTCAACATAAAATTTTGAATTTTAGTTTGCCTATCTAGTCAAATACATGGATTTTTTGACATTTGATACACTTTATAATGTTATATTGACATTTTTCAAGATTTCTTTACTGTAAACTATGTATTTCAGCAAAAAGTACATTTACAGATGATTTTTCAAAAATTGCTTTAAAAATACAATTGAAATAATTAGATCATGTCTCATAAATGGTTAATCACAGTTACCACAGAAACCAAATATTTGTTTTAAAGATGTAAGGTACACAAAAAAATATGTTGTGTCTTTCATTATTTTAGCTAATGGCCACTCATACAGTTTTCTTCATACAAACTAATCACATTGACTAAATTGTAAAGGCAAATACAATATATTTGGAGATGTTGTCATGGTAACCAGATACAAATCACAAAAGCATATTTAAAAAAATTATATTTTCATGCATTTACAATAAACTGTGAAAATAATACATGTATGTTAGTCAATATTTATTTTGTATTTCATGGAGATTTTGTATTAAGTCAATTTATTTAAAAAAGCATTTCCAGAATAATTTGTTACCATGGTTACAAAAATTTATGAGAAATCCACTGGTTTTATCTAATATTTGCAAGGTTTAGGAGAACATTTTTTATCTTATATTATCAATTTTTTTGTGCTTGTGGTATTTTTTCCACAACATGCTCTGAAAATTATATATTTTGGTATTTTCTTGAAAAATGAATTTTTGTGATATTCTGTTGCCATGGTTACAGAATATTTTTGAAAAACCCATGAGTTTTGTTTTGTTTTATTAGAATAAGGATTGTGGTCTTTCTATCCCATGCTTTCAGTTTTCTTTACCATGTGGGATTTTTTCTAACTATGCTCTTAAAAATGGTTATTATTGTGAAAAATGAATTTTTGTGACATTTTGTTGCCATGGTAACAGAGTATTATTTAAAAACCCATGGGTTTTATTTAATTTTATTGAAATTAAGAAAGTGCTCTTTCTATTCCACATTATCAGATTTCTTTAACATGTGGGATTTTTTCTTAGTATGCTCCTAAAAACAGTTATTATTGTGAAAAATGAATTTTTGTGACATTTCGTTGCCATGGTTACAGAATATTTTTAAAAAACCCATGGGTTTTATTTAATTTTATTAAAATTAAGAATGTGCTCTTTCTATCCCATGTTATCAGATTTCTTTAACATGCGGGCCTTTTTCTTAATATGCTTCTAAAATATGTTGTATTTTAAGAAATATTATAAAAAGTGAATTTGATGAAATGCCTTATGATAAATTGAAATTCAGTATCTTTAATAAATCCTGTATAATATTATCCTTATGGTAATCATTAATCATTTTTTATATACTTTTCAGGAAAAAAGATTTATTTTCTGGTATTTTCATCGAAAAAGCTCTGTTCCTGTGTTCAATTATTGCTAAATTCATATTTATTTCAATTTTTTGCTTGGTTGCCATGTGCATTTACATGGTGCATTGTTTCCATGGCAACAAAGGCTGGCCAAAAAAATTATGTTGTCCAGTGATGTTCCCTTGGTCCATGAAGCAACATATTAAAATTTTGTAAAAATCTGAAGTGGTCATGAATCACCCCCTGCCTGGTTCTTACAAATAGCTGTACTTAAATGTTGCACATATCTTCATTTAATGATAAAATCTTTTCCTGTGATAAAGGACCGCACTGTTACTGGAGGGGGACAGAATGAGGCGGATCCTCTTACACCAATGGAGGAAATGGTGGTCTCACTTATTGGTGAAGAAAGAGTATATGGATTGGCGGATGGAATGGATTGTTTTGAGCTCCAGCAACTTCATGAGGTTCGCCTTCATACGTATTAATGTAACTTGAAGCTGAAGTATGTGCTACATGTATATATTCTAAATAGTCCTCTTGCTTTCAGGATAACCTTTTTATTTTCACTGAAAAGGCATGGCGATAATTTAAAAAATGCTGTAATCTTGATCCTTAACATTCAAAATGTTTTATGTAAAGATCTCTAAATCGACTTAACTTCTCCATCGCTCCTCGAAACAATAGCAAGTGCTCGAGATGAAAAAAGTTGAATTATCTCTAGATTTGAAAATAATTAAAATTGCAAACCTTACATATAACCCCTGTATAAGATAACAAGCATAAAACCTCAGGAGGAGAGGGCTGCCCCTCCCCCCCCTCCCCCCTTATTAAAAAAACACAACTTTTTACTATTGATAAATGTTTATTAAAAGTCCGCTTGCCTCCTTTTTGTGGTAGTATAGTCAAACAAAGGAAATACAATCTCTAGCTGCCCCCCTTTTTTGTTAAAAAAAACAAAGCTACGTCCCTGGGTAAAAAAAAAACTTCTTTAGATATAGTAGATATAGTTTTACAAATATTGATAGGGATCAGAGGCTGGCGAGGTGGAGAAAGCATTACATCAGGGAGAAATATGTGGTGAGGGTACAAGTAGTAGCCCATTACCAGACACCAGTAAGCTGAGTAACGAAACTAGAACAACACCAAACAGATGCAGTAATGTCAAGGGTCGTGTCACAGCTGACAAATGCGAGAAAGAGAGGTGAGTTTTCACAAATAAATATTTTCTTCAAGCAAATTTTTTCTCATAATGTGACTTTATCGGAAAATATTTTCGAGAGAGAAAGAGAAAAGAGTGGAAGGTGTATCTGAACCACTGCTAGAATGTCCAATCCCTTTATTTTATCATTCCTCTGTTGGATATGTTTAATTCAGTTCCAAATTTGAATTATTCATAAAATTAGATAAAACATAAATTCATCATACCTATTACGAAATATGTCATTTTTTTAGGTGTGTGTGTGTGGGGGGGGGGGGGTATTAGGAAGTAGAGCGAACGCTTAAATGAAAAAAAAATTGGGAACGGATCTTGTATTTTTCCAGGGACGGAAGGGATACTAGTAGTTGATCCACATGATAGACTCGGAAATTTAAAAAAGTAATAAACTTGAACAAACATGAATAAATGGGGGAGGGGACTAGACTAGGAGAGGACACTTTCTTTAGTTAATTCCTTAACCCCGGTTTGATAACGGAACTTTGCTTTCTACCTGTCATGTAGGTGAAAGTAAGGTGATTTTTACAATACTTTAAGAAAGTAATTTGATAACTGAAATTAAAAGAGGCACTAACTCCCAATTTCTGGACACGCCTCTAAATCTTATGAAATTAACAGAAAGCTTGCATTAATTTTTTTTTTTTCAGCACACAATCAGAACTTCTGAGTATTGAGAAGGAGCGATTACAGATAGAAAAGCAGAGATTGAAACTCGAGGAAGATAGGTATTTGCTGGAAAAAGAACGCTTGCAGGAACTGAGGAAGATATCCCACATCCTTCAAGACATGGCGAACAAGACTAGTAAAGGCAATTCTCAGACAGAGGAATACATGCCCCAAGATTACAGCTACCTGTATGCCTCATTAACCTAATAAATGACTCAGATTGTAACAACAAAATTAAGAACGTACATGTATTATTTTCATTTTTAGTTGCGTTGATACTTAGAAGTAGTTAAATAAGAATTCTTTCAGATGCATTTAAAATTAGTTTCATTTTCAAACGCAATGCACTTTTTACAAGGTTTATATTAACAATGTAGCATTATTTTGCTGATTAACTAAGCATCGTAAAAATTAAATATGTCTGAGTATAATCTCTATATATATTTTTGTCTATATATTTTGTATTTTATTTGTACCGGAGACATTACATCTGATAGGTATACAATATTCATACATAAGATTTGTACAGGCTATATACAATATACATGTATTAATTACATAACAATATCATTTAATTATTATTTAGAACATCATTTCTTAACTGTTAACTTCTCCATACATGTACATGTAATATAAACCTCAAAAACATTATTTGTGCACGGAGGACTTTATTCTGTAAAAAAACATTTTTTTTTTAAATCAACCACCCTATACATGTACACAAAACACACACACATAACTGCTTTATATATTCTAAGTGACTTCGGGAGATAGGAGGGGGATTGGATGTAAAATACTAGTACTTAGTATTCCACTTTGACAAGATACATGTATAAGCACCAATTTTCATTTAGACTCACTTTATTAAATAAATTAAGTAAAATATTTGCAATTTAAGAGTTAAAGAAACACATAACACTTTAGACAAAGTGTGCTCTGATGAGACTGGCTCTAACAGCTTCACCTTCCACCACGTCCTGTCCTCTGTCTGTAGGGGTGATGTCCTCACTGCCCTCGTCCTCAGCTCCCACCTGATAAACATCAGGTAAAGGTACACCTTTACTCTCGCAAATATTATGCAGGACACCAGTGCTTATAATTGCCTTTACAGCTGTTGTTAATTCAACTGTGATTGCACCACCTATATTTTGAATATAATGATAACAGTATACAATCCGGAGGAAAAAAAATCTCTTTCTGTGCATTGTTTACTGCAATGTATATTTAATGTGTTGTTTGTCAATGAATTTCCTTTATGAAAAGGACATTTTCTTTCAATATTGTACGTGCTTATTGCACAATTAATTAAAAATTAATGGAAAATCGTGATTTTTAAAATTTGTGTTTTTTTTTCCTTCTAAATAAGCATTCTGAATTGAGATATTATGAAAGCCTATTAGGATCAATCTAAAGAGAAAAAAAATTTAAAAGGCGTTATAACGCATTTTGGAAAGGCGTAATAACGCCTTTTTGAATGGAAAGGCGTAATAACGCCTCTTAGAAAGGCGTTATAACGCCTATTTCGCGTTATTACGCCTTTTCAAAAGGCGTTATAACGCCTTTTAAATTTTTTTTCTCTTTAGAGTGATCCTAATAGGCTTTCGTAGAGATATACTTGTTTTTTTACGCGAAATTTCTTTAAAGAGACACCGTGACGCACAAAGGGGAAATTTGACAAAGTAAACGTAGAATTTTGGCATGACCCTAGTAAACTTTGTTCAATTCCTAAAAGTACTTAGGTTTATTTTTATGGAGAAATAATGTCAGTATGCCCCATAACGAAAATATTTCTTTACTTCTTCCTCCCTCTTGTACGCGTGCGTAGAAAAAGTTGAATAAGTACCATAGTTACCATGGTCTCAAGTACCCAGGAATGAATGAAGGCTAGGAATAGACCAAAACCTTTGATGTAATCATTTGTAAAAGTTGTTCGAACATATTTCTCACCTTTTATTACAGTTTATTGTTGTTTACAAGTTTCAGCTAAAAATAAAGGTGGCGTGACCTTGACATACGCGAAAACAATGAAACGGTAGATACAACCTCTGTTTTCTGGCACTTATATTGCGCGGTCTTTTCTTGCTTTACGGTGCAGTTTAATTGCCATATTTTAACTATATACTCATAATATTGAAAAGTATTTCTCTGTATGCTACATATATCATAAAGAAACACATGATTTTGACTCATTGTGTTACTTTAAGCACAGGGACATGCTCCTTGCGTGTAAAAAATATTTATGAAAAAAAAAACAAAAAAACGATACACTATGTTGTTTTGTTTTTTTTTTATAAATATTTTTTACACGCCAGGAGCAAGTCCCTGTGCTTTAAGCGCCCTAAGAACGAGCTCACAAATACGACAGACCCTTAATGTAATTAGTGACTGATCAACCGGACAGCTTCTTCAAATTTCTGTACTAAACATTTTTTTTTATATTTTAAGTAAAATGTAACCTACCAAATTTATGCAGCATAAGCCATCTGCATTTCCATCTGCCAAAAGTATCCTCAATCACCTTCCTTGTTTTTTGATGCTGCCGGTTATAAGCCTCCTCTGCCGGGTTACGGGGATCTCGTAAAGGAGTAAGCAGATATGGTCTCAGAGGATAGGCCTGATCTCCAAGTAAAAATCCAACCTGCGTGTTTCGAGTAAGGAACGTTTGTACACCACACTGACTCCATATGAAGGCATCGTGCGCCGAGCCAGGGAATTTAACGAGCAAATTTGTAATTTTTTTCTGACTGTCGCAAATCCCTTGTACGTTTAGCGCATGGAAACCCTTGCGACATACATACACGTCCTCGCGTGATGGTGGAGCCTTAATTGGAATAAATGACCCGTCCACACATCCGATTACATTTGGAAATCCAAATTTCTCCATAAAACCTTCTTTAACAGTTTGAAGTTTTCGGCAATCCGTCGGGAATTGAATAATTTGTCCAGCAAAACTTGCCAGTGCATTAGAAACATTCTTTACTGCTCTGGAAACGCTGGGATGACTGAGTCTTAAAATGTCCCCAATCACTTGCTGGAAAGAACCAGTCGCATAATACCTCAAAGCAGCAAAAGTTTGTTCTTCAGGTTTAAGGGCATGAGATCTTTTTGTCTCATGTGACACATCCTTTCTTACAATGTCAATGACATCCATCAAACAGTGTTTTGTCATTCGATAGCGGGAAAGAATTTCCGCGTCGTCATACGCATCCAATGGATTTAGCCTATCTCTAAAGATTCTATTCTTCCGAATTTTGTTTTCCTCTAGAATTGCTTGTAATAACGCCATAATAGAAAGAACAATATGACGTACGTTGTACATGTTTAATGACGTCATAATAACCTTTGAGGAACAATAGTTTTTGGCACAACCGAGTGATTATAATTAGTTACTGAGTATCTATATCCTTTCCATTTCTTTTTATTTATTTTTTTAAACTGAGAAACATTACAAATGCATGTACAGTTGAGTTTTTATGCGTGTATCTGAAACATCTAGAATACCATGGATATATTGAAGCAATTTAGAAGTCCAATTAGTTTATTCCTCAGATCCTGGATATATCGAATCTTCGGTTATATCGAAGTATTTCTCTGTTCCACAGAGTTCGAGATAATGAAATTTGACTGTATTTTTATTCTGTTGCTTCATATAATTGCTAATAGCAATTCATTTCTTATCAACCATCATAGGAATAGTCAGGGGATTTATTTTCATCGTTGGACTCATGAATGCAATTGACTAGATTTATTGCTCGAAGAAATTAATGACATATGTTGCTCACACGAAATGAGTTAATGATATCATAATTAAACCGAAGAGAGCAATTCTTTAGAAAAAATATTAGATGCAATAAATTCATGTAACTTGTTGCTATTTTACAATGTTCGGTGCATTGGTGCAATTTTTGATACATGTTCCATTTTTTTCATTAGAATAAAGAAAGCAGCATTTTCATTTTTACGCATGTCAATTCAACAAATTCATTAATTAGTGAAGTCAAGTTTTACAATAAAGCGTGTTAACATTTTGTATGGAAAATATAATTTTTTTGAAAAGAGTAGATATCTTTGAACAGATTTTTTTGATACATTGCATACTTAATTACACTGTCATGTACTTGAGTTTATGATCTTTTTGACCCTCCATACAACCCGCTCTAAAACGGGATTGGTTGATCATGTTTATGTCGTCAATTTCCATTTGTATTCATAATGAATAGATATTACATACATGATGTAAACTGAGTGTGGCTATCCCAGCAAGACAAAGGGAACATTCCCCAGCAAAACAACGCACTTTGATTCTGTCAATTTCGTTTTTATCCCACGGAAAAAGTTAAAGTTTACATTTATTTAGACATGTCAACGTATTTCCGATACATACAAAAAACAATGAATGAAATATTTAGTCAAAACAACAAGTAAAGTGTAAGTAAAACCACTCTAAATGCCAGTCGACAACAAGGTGCCCGTTTACCGGATACTCTAACGTATCCGTTAATTTTCTCCGGTAGCGGAAGAGTTAACGCAAACGTTAACGGATGCGTTAAATAACGGGTGCTTCGAGAATACCAAATAATTTTACGGAAACATTAGCGGTGACGTTAACGGACCCGTTATCTAACGGATGCTTTGTGAATAAGGTCCCTGATTGCAATAATATGTAGCAATACATGTTTATAATTATATACTAGTACAAGTACTTTCATCCTTTTTATTTAATTATTTTTTCGCGGTTAATGATTTTTGTACTGAACAGAAAATTTTATTACTTATAAAAATATTAATTTCATCATTTTTTTTAATCTTTGGACGGCTGAAAAAAATGAACTGCATCAAATTAACTTTAAAATTAAATTTTAATGTGCAAATTGATAAAAACAATTTCATTACAATACTTTTTGAGATGTTAAAAGAGTTGGAAATACACTGAATTAACCATATAATACATATTATAGTAATTTCGTACTAATAGGAAGCACTTGCGGATTTAGAGGGGGCAGCCCCCCACCCCCACCCCATTTGTGTCCAAAATATACATAAGATGGTGTGGCATTGGGCCCCTACCCCGACACAAAACTGATCGCCGCCTTTTAAGATTCCAGGATCCGCCACTGGGAAGCACTTTCAGTTGATGCATAGTATATACATGTACTAACAAACTTAGTGGAGGAGGGGGTCCCTAATTTCTACGGGCCTGATATTGCGTAAAGGCAAGTTTTTGAATAGTACAGGAAAACTGAGTTTAGCTAGTGCGTACATTTCCGTCAATTAAGAAATTTTAAAAAGGTTAGTCATTATGTATATTTGTATCAACATCAAAAGTTTAAATAAGCGATGAAAATGCTATATAAAATACAAACTTTTTCGGCATCTTTAAGATTTAATATAGGCAGATGGTATTGGTCAGAGGGATGGTAAAAATGTATACGAAAAAATTACCAGAAACAAAGCTCTCCTCAAGTACAGTAGGTTGCTTTCGTCACCTATTCGCCACCCCGTGGTGCTAAAGTAGTTGTTTGTTTGACTCGAGCTCCTCTTTACTCCGTCGCCGGCTAGCCCACTCTTCCATTGCTTTTATTGGGCTGTCTTTGATAAAGAAAATTTATTTGTCGAGTTCAAAGAAGAATCTAAATTAGCAGTTTCTTCAGTATATTAATGCGAGTGTTTTGGGTGCTTTCAGTGAATTGCTGAGACATGATAAAGAAGTATTAATTACTCGCAATATCGGAGTTGTTTTTTTCGCATCTTTATCTTTGTACACATAATGCGCAAGTCCTGATTTGCCCTTTGAACGTCCGGGTTTTTTTTTTCACGAAACGTTGAGAAAATGTTTGGAACTTTTACTTTATAGAAGTTCTCTTTGTAACGTTTTAGAAGTTACTTAATTTTTGCGTTTTCGCTCGGTAACAAGTGATCAAATGTCAAGTATTTGACGTAAGTAATAAAAAAAATCTGTATATGTAAAGTTTCTTTTCGACATGGATGTACAAAACAGCTGGTAGCGACATTAATGTGCGCTTTGTCATTTTTGCTAGCCACTTAAATTCTTAAAATCGGTGAAAAAATACACGAACATTTCGCTAGTTAGGGGAGGTCCGCTAGTGGTGCCATGAGAAAATTTGTATTTGCTTGCTTACATCATTTTTAAGTATGATGACAAAAAAGTTGTTAAATGATTGCAAACTTTTCAAGCTTGTACTAAAATTATAATGCACCAGCTAGCGCCTAACACTGTTAATTTTCCACAATTACTTATAAACACATTTGTATTGGATTTATCCATGAACCTTTTTGGTTTTTTTTTTTACAAATGGCGACTTGTAATTGGCTTGCTGTAGACTAAAGTGCTTATGTACCAATACTTCACAGAATCCTTCTGGCATTTTAAATGATCTTTGTTAATTTCACCTGAAATAAAACATTCAATGCCAAACAAATTTGTAGTTAAAGTCAAATTGTTAAAGATGAAGTACTGTCCTACAGATTATTAGATAACACAATGCAATAGAGCTAAATACGTTTTACTGTACCTAGAAATTTATGTAATTTGAAGGCAATTGAAGAGGGAACGAAAAAGAGATACATTTTTATATGTCAAACTGTCAAATTATTTTTTATTTGATATAGTACTGTAGTAATTATTACTTTGATCTTTTTACACCCATTTTATAAATCACTTACTCTTTGACTTTTTACATTTTGTTGAATGGAAGATGCAACAGCAGCCAAGTCAAATCAGAAGCATCGATCAAGTCATATCAGCAGCATGCGCTAAGTTATATCAGTAGCTTCAATCAATTAATATCTGCAACATTGAGTCACTTCATATCAGCAGCATCAGCCAAGTCATATCAGCAACAGCGGTCGTGTCATATCAGCAGCAGCAGTCGTGTCATATCAGCAGCATGAGCTAAGTTATATCAGTAGCTTCAGCCAATTAATATCTGCAACATGAGCCACGACATACCAGCAGCATCAGCCAAGTCATATCAGCAACAGCGGTCGTGTCATATCAGCAGCAGCAGTCGTGTCATATCAGCAGCATGAGCTAAGTTATATCAGTAGCTTCAGCCAATTAATATCTGCAACATGAGCCACGACATACCAGCAGCAGCAGTCGTGTCATATCACCAACAGCAGTCAGGTCATTTCAGCAGAAGCAGCCAAGTCATATCAAAAGCATTAGCCAAGTCTTATCAGTAGTATCAGTCATATCATATTAGCAGCATCAGCTAAGTCATACCAGCAACATTAGACTCGGCCGAGTCATATCAGCAACATCAGTCAAGTAATATTAGCAGGCTGAACCATGTACAAGTAATAGCAGCAGCGTCAGCATGGTTATATTAGTAGTGTCAGTCATGTCATATCAGCTGACAACTGGTATCAACGAAAGAAATCTCCGTTAGACCACATGGCCGACCTTTTTTGTTAACCGAATCCATCCTTTGTAGCAACAAGGAATCTATAATACTACATAGGAAACTCTTTCCAGATTGACAACACGTTCAATCATTGTGTTAGTCCAACCTGATCAGTAAAAAGCAACAGCTTTGGTGCACTAACTCATCGCGAGAATCTTCACCGCAAGCAGCAATAAAGACAAACATTTAAGCATTAACCTACGATGGCTGATAAAAGCCTCCACTTCACAGCTTAACTTACTGTCTTCTGTACATGTAAAATTTGACAATTTAGCACAGACACAACACACAAAAGCCAATGTTGGTAAATGTACATATACAAATTGCAAAATACAAAATGCACAGAAACTTTCGTTGCTTTTTGTGCATAGAAATTGACAAATTGACAAAAATGACAGTTTCTTTACAAAAGGCCTCTGCCTGATATTTATGTTGATTTTGAACTTTAATAATATAAAAAAGAAAATATGACACATTGACAGACGTGTCGGACGACAGATGAACAGAAAAACCAGGCCCGTAGGAAACGATTTCAGTTTGGGGTGGGGGAACAGCCTACATTTTCGGAGGGGGCACTATCAACCACAAAAATTCATTGACAAGCAAACAAAAAAAAAAGAGGTCATCAAACGTTTTTATTGAGGGGGCAGAAGCATATGGTACCTACATAGTATCTATGGTTTTTAAAGTATTCTATATATCTGCAAAATTATTGGGTGAGCACACCCCCAGTTACCCATCCCCCCCCCCCATCCCCGGTACTTGTTAACATTGAAAATCCGGATTATGAGTGATAGTTTGGAATATGAGGCAGTTGATACAGGTCTGGGCTGTTGGAAATGACGCAGCATTATCAATGAAGCTTACGGATGACGGAATGCCTTATCAAAGTTCAAAATCTCCATTAATATGTCAAGAAGAAGGTCTTTTGTTAGGAACTGTCGTTTTTGTCAATTTGACAATTCCTATGGACGAAAAGCAACAAAAGTTTCTGCGCATTATGTACTTGGAGAATTTGTCAAATTGTACATGTACGTTAACCACCAAAGGTATTTGTGTATTCTGTCTGTGCTAAATTGTCAAATTTTACATGTACATAAGACAGTAAGTTAAGTTGTGAAGTGGCGGCTGTTATCGGCCATCGTATTAACCACTATAAGAAGATACTTAGATATAAGCACTAACAGCTACAAGAAGCCAGTAAAAACTGTACAAGAAGACAAGAAATTAAGTTTTATCTGCTACAAGAAGGGATCATTAACCTGTACAATAAGACAAATACACTTAAGCATCAACCGCTACAAGAAGCCAAGCAAAACCGCTACAAGACGCAACGCATTTCAGTATAAACCGCTATACAAAAGACAAACGTGTAAACATCAACCACAACAACAACGCAAGTATATTAGAATTTATTGCTCAAGAAGGCAAACATTCATGTACCTAACCCGAAAAGGAGGCAAGCATGAACAACGAGATGACAGGCATCTAAGTCAACCTCTACAAGAACGTAAGTATTAACCGCTACAAGAAGACAAACATTAAAGCACTAACCGCTACAAGAACGCAAGCATATTAGAATTTATCGCTCAAGAAGGCAAACATTCAAGGATACAAGCATGAACAGCTACAAGAAGACAATCATTTAATAGTCAACCTCTAAAAGATTTAAGAACATAAGTTTAACCGCTTCAAGAAAATATACTAGTTATTTTCAGGATAAACCCTCCAAGAAGGCAAGCATTAATAAGTACAAAAAGACTAAAATAAGCCTAAAAAACTGGCTAAAAGGCAAGCTTATAAATCTAACTGTACAAAATGACAGGCATTGCAGTATTAACCAATGCAAGACTGAGAACATTAAAGGATACAAGAATATAAGCATTATCCACTGCAACATCAAGTATTAACCATTACAGAAGATGAACACTAAAGTACTATCATATACAAGAAGACTAGCATTCAAATATTGACCTCTTCAAAAAGACGAGCATTATACTTGATTACCTCTTCAAGAAGATAAGTATAAACAAAGACAATTTTACCATATAAGTGGATCTTCGCTCTATTTTTACTATCTTCAAAGTATGCACAAAATATTAAAAATACACGTTTACAATTTTTCTTTCCAAAAATATGGGGCAAGGACCCGCTCTGCTTTTTGCTTGTCACTTTATTCGTCTATCTTGGTAATTTTTACGTAAAATACCGTACGTCGTATAAAATTACTGCATGTAAAACGTTTTATTTTTGTTAGTTTCCTTCCTATGATCAAAACTATTCAGCATAATTCTTGTTCCACTAGAAAGTATTTTTACAGATAATTATGACACCTGGAATCCTATGGTGTACCCAGAAACCCTCTTACTTGTTTGATTGAGAAGTGCCAAAAACTTTATTTCTGTCTTCATTTATTAAGCTATTTTTCTTTTCTTTGAGAACTTATAGTGTAAATTGTTTTGAAAGTTTGTTACAAATATTTATTACTTGTTTGGGATCAGAGGGAACAAAGTATCTGCAAAAGCATCTTTGTGCAATATTCTGTCATAAAAACTTTAAATATCAGGAATATTTCGGTAATTATATCTGCATGTATTTTCTTTGCTATAGCATCAGGAATAGCTTTGTACCCGCTTTTTTTCTTTTAATTAGAAAAATAAGAGGGGAAAAGAGTGTTGTCAAATTGGGTCTTTTTGGGAAGATAAACAAGATTTTAAATTGAAATTGTGATTTTTTTAGTTGTGCGCATCCTATCATTTTTTGGGTTTCTTTATAGTTGATAAAAAATAGATTTTTCAGAGTGTCACATGAAATGAAGAATGGTTGAGGTTCGCCATAGATCACAGAGAGACGTCCCGGATATGACGTCAATGTAACGCCTAATTGAGAGTAGCAAACCGTGCCCTAATTTAAGCTTCGCAATGTGAAAGTTGACTCCATTTAAAAAGTAATGATTTCTATTAATCTCGACAGCTGGTTTGTTTTAAAAGGCTTTAACTTTGTATTTTGTGAACATGGCTGAATGCATTTTTTCAATAATGAGTTTTGTCAGTTTAATTTGTTAAAAACAATCCAACGTCAAGAGTTTCCTTTTAATGGCTGCCTCATTTGTAAGGTAAATGTTTAAAGAAAACTCAATTTTTTTGGTTCATGTATACAGTTATATTAACGTACATATAAAAAATTAAGATTAAATGAAAATACAAGAAAACTTTTTCCTCCTACAGAGAAGAATTGAATTTAGTCCTTGTGGGGTTTACGGGAGGCGGTAAAACCAGTACAGCTAATACTATCCTAGGCAAGAAAGAATTTGTAGTATCACCCACGTCAAAGGTGGCCAGCGCCCAAGGTCATAGGATAGGCATTGATTTCAACATAATAGACACACCAGGTATAGTGACCACAAAGGATATAGAACAGTTTCATCAAAATATCACAACCCGGGATGGAATTAAGATTTGCTTTCTAGTGGTTATTAAACTAAAACGCTTTACTAACGAAGAGAGTTTTGCCCTCAGTGAAATGTTACGGAGAAACCCAACAATGCTCGGAAGAACTGTGGTCATCTTCACAAATCTTGGAGAAATCGAGGACAAAGACACCGTTGTTGAAAGAGCCATTGACCGCTTTTTGAAAAGAAATTATACACTACTTTCTTTTCTGAAAAGGTACAGTCTCTCATATGTGGGACTAGAGAACAAATTTGCTAGCGAAAACGACAAAGATAAAAGAGTAAAAGTCATTTTAGAGGCGGTGAAAAAGTACGCAGATGTCTTGGAAGAAAGCAATGGGAAGACCAATACTAAACACGACAGTCATCCAAAATCTGAACAAAATGTCATCAACAGCGCAAGGTCAGAGGAGGAGGAGAAAGTCTCTATAGAAGCAAAGGAGCATCTTAAGGAGAATGAGAGTCACCATGGTGACATGTCAATAGATGATCACGTGGCCAGAATTGTCCAACAGAAACTAGACAGTGTGTTACCGATTTTGAAGAAAGAGATTAGAGAGGAACTTGAAAACCACCTACGAGATGAAATACTACCCTCAATTCGAGAAGAAATTAAAAGTGAAATTTTGCAAAAAAGAATATCCAAAAAATGATTTGAATTTTTAAATTGGATGCCTAAATATATTGCAGTGGTTATCTGAATGATAATGTTGGAAGTCAAAAAGTAGCTCATATATAGAGAGAAAAATACATGCAACTGTGGCAATGAGTCATATTTACATCCTCATCAGAGTATCAATTAAAACACATTTTCTTGTTAAATACTCGTATATGGTTAAAAAGGCTTCTTTGTGTTTTCTCTGAATTGCACAAAATAAAATGCGTGAAAATTGTGTCTTTCCATGAATTTCAGTTGAAAGGCGATAAAAAAAATGTCTTCATATTTATAGCTGTTTATTTATATCGATGTTCCCAGATGTTCATGTCCAAAAATAGAGACATACGTTTGGTTATTTGTTCATTGTAATATGTTATGCAACATGGACGACAAGTCCTTTGTTTATTAGGGGTGAAGAAAATTACGTTCTAAATAAATTTCATAATAACCAAGTAGATTGCAACAGAGCTATTGTACGACTCCATGTCCATTTAGTAAAAAATATACGGTAGTTACTAACTTTCTAGGTACATTAATTATATTTACCAAAAATAATTTTTTCCTCGTTTGGATAAATGTGAATATTGCTCCTGTCACAATAAGAGATTTCATTGGATTCCTGTAATATAATAAATATATTTCTACTGATCTTCTAATAAGATGGAAGTCGCCGTCCGGTGATGACGCGTAACCACTATAATACAATCAGTATATCGTGTCCCTCGGTGACTGTAAATCGAGACGATGAAAACGCACCTGCCCATATTAGCGGCTGCAGCCTGCGGACATAGTTCTGGAATCAAAGGTAGGCAAAAGGATACTGCTTTTAATATGGTAATTACGAGATTCGATAAACTGTTCACTTTTTTTAATCTAAGAATTTTTTTTGCAGATCTGGTCTCGGATGACGAGGATGCCTTTCAAGATGGGTCAGGTTCTGGCTGTTTCCAGATCCCCGCTGATGGAATTTGTAACGTAAGGGATATATTGTTCATTTCAAAAATACAAAAATCTGTGTTAGCTTTTTATCCAAATCATGGATAACTGGAGTATTTACTCACTAAGTTACTCTATATAGTTAAATCATTTGAAGTTAAATAACTAAATCAAGAGATTTCCAACGTTAATTCTTCCTTTAGCGAAAGCATTTAAAATACATGTATGTGATTCTTTCAGCCATCAATTTAGAAAGTTATTTTAAGTTTTATAATATATTGTACTTATTTTAATACAATTTTTTTTTTAGTTATTTCCATTTTTTTTGTTTTTACAGTGTAACACGCATCTATCTTGCCTTCAAACATGTGATGACATCACGTGTAATCAAGTTCTAACCGCCTGTTTAGGAGATGATACATCAAAAGGAAACTGTAGAAGTGGGTACTTGAAGTGTCAGGAAGAAAACACTTTGACGGATTAAAGTTTACTTCTGTATTTGGGACCATGTTGTTTACGAGCAATATAATCAGAATAAGACAAACGAGACATGTTAAAGAAGCATTAAAAATGTTTTTTTTCGATTTGTAGATCAATCAAACTCTTCAGACACACCCATGAATGGTATGTACCATATAAGATGCATGAAGAAAACCAAATTCAAAGTCCTGTATTATGCTCCTTATGAGTCTATCACCTTGGAAATGTATAATGTGACACATCTCATTTATTTTATTATATAGCTCGTCTTCCTTGTGTTAAATTTCCACTTTCTATTTTTATAGACCTCTGTACAACTGTTGAGGCAATTTAAACTAAACTTTGCTCAGTAAAAAAAGATATACTTTTCTCCTTTGAAATAGGACAATTAAAGCAAACATCTCATTTATCTTATTATATAGCTCGTCTTCCTTGTGTTAAATTTCCACTTTCTATTTTAGACCTCTGTACAACTGTTGAGGCAATTTAAACTAAACCTTGCTCAGTAAAAAAAGATATACTTTTCTCCTTTGAAATAGGACAATTAAAGCAAACATCTCATTTATCTTATTATATAGCTCGTCTTCCTTGTGTTAAATTTCCACTTTCTATTTTTATAGACCTCTGTACAACTGTTGAGGCAATTTCAACTAAACTTTGCACAATAAAAAAAGATATACTTTTCTCCTTTGAAATAGGACAATTAAAGCAAAATCTAAATGAATAAGAGTTTGGTCATTTTTAAAAAGAACAAACTTCAATAAAATCAAATTGCTTCGAAGAGACTCAATTTATGTGAAATTTTTGTCATGGTTTGGAGGTAAATTCAAAATTTACATTAATTTTTCTAAGACCAGCTAAGCTTGAAAAGAAACAATATTTATATGTTATTCTTATCTTGTTATAATTTTTGAAATTAATTCGTGGATGCATATGCAATTTAACTAATAAATTTGTAAATTTTGCATTTACCTCCACCCAGCAAATTTAAAATTCAACTTTATTTGTATTATCCAAAAAAAGTCCTCAATTTATAATTATAATAATATAATGTTATAAATGTACACATTTATATAGCTCGTCTTCTTACGTTTTGCAATTGATTTCAGCTTCTAATACAGACCTGACATTGTGGATCACGGGTGGTGTTTTGTCTGTTATTCTTGTGGCAGCGGCTGTCCTTATGATTGCATTGAGGTATGTCTGCAGTAAATCGATTTACATATAAATAAAGTTTACATCTCTTTGCGAAACATTTGGTGGCTTATTCTTAATTTTTGCATCTAATGATACGAATTAGGAAGGAACCTCTCAGTGGAGACAATTATTACAACAATTAAACATCGCAATTAGATAAAGTTGTTACATATTGTAGAAGTGCAATTACAATACAGCAGTTAAATATTGTAGCTATTACAAATAGAAGCTAAATATTAAGCAATATTATTTTAATCATATAGTCCAAGATCTCTGATTGGCTTAAACTTGGTCACATGATTTAGTATATAACAGCATATAGACTTGAGTTACTATTTATAGAATCTGAAATGCATATCGACTTGATGTTTCTTAAAATAGAGGTAATTTTCTGTAAAACAAAAAATTAATAGGAAAGATTTCACAATTATAGCTAATACAGTATATGACTTGATGTATGGCCTGAATTAGGATTCTACTTAATATTACATGTTGAATATCTTTGTCAAAATTGATACAAAACATAATCAAAAAAGATGTACATTTGTAGTATTTTCAATTAGTAAATCCTCTAAATTATGTAAAAATCTAAAAATGTCAAGGAAAGTTTAACACAGTTATATTAAATAACTTAATTTATTTTTATTTCTAGTCTCTAAGTGTTTAAGAGAGAAAACTTGTGGTTTGTTCCCATTTTTTCAAATTGTTTTCTTATCAACCTCTGTAAAAAATAATATAACAAATGTAGCCCTTTAATTCGGTCAATCCATAGATATATCGACTTCACAGAAAAGCATATCGACCTCGCACTTCGTGCTCGGTCGATATGCTTTTCTGTGAAGTCGATATATCTATGGATCGACCTCATCAAAGGGCTATATTTATATACTAATATGTGTTAGTTACATGTACATTTTCTTGCAATGACAATATAACTATTAGGGTGAATTCACCATGCATCGGACACCCTTGTACTTCAACTTCAACAAGTTCTAGCGATATCGCTACCGACGGAAAATTATCAAAATAGAGCTTAACACTTAGTATGTGATTAAAATATAAATTTGGGACACAATTATATGCCTTTTATTGAGAAAATATCACCAAAAATCGATTTTTTCTAAATAACTCAAAATTCACCATGGATCGGACATAATTCACCATGCATCGGACAGACGGTATTTCTACCGAAACAATTTCATACCTTTATTACAGTGCTTGAAAATCCTTGATATGGATATACTTTTACATGTATATTTTATCTAAGAAATAACCCTCAACTTAAATATAATTGACGATATCGTTGCACAAATGTAGAACGATTCAAGATGCCTCACTTTGCCTTAGAAATGCTTTAAAATGCTTGTAATGCTTGTAATTAAGTTTACATGTTTATTTTTTAAACAGTAACATAAAGCAGTAACATATTTTACCAATAGCATATACCGGTATATTGCAATGATATATTGTAGCTGTCTATAGGTATTGTAGCAATTGAATAAGAAGTTACATACTACAATATTTACATTTTCAAATATCTTTCTTATGCCCTGTTCACACGGAGAGTTTAATTCGAATTAAACGTAAAGTTACTGCGAATTAGCTTCGCTTAGCGTTCACACGGAGAATTTAATGCGAATTAGTTTAATTCGAATTAATTTACTGCGCATTAAATTACTTCGCATTAGCTATAAGCGAAGCTAATTCGAATTAAATTTTGACGCATGTAAGGCCAGAATTAAGTCACAGGACACGTGTTGGTGGTTATATATGGGTATTTGTGCTATGTTTGGTTCAAAAATTGAGGGAAAGTATGTTAATCACGAAAATCAATGAATAACTGTAGCCACTACATGTACACCATGAATCAACTCTGCATACATGACGTGATTTACAAATGACGTCATAATAGACTTACATGACTGTAGATAAAAAATTTAATTCGCATTAGTTTACTTCGCATTAACTGTCGCGTGAACGCAATTTAATTCGCATTAATTTGATTCGCATTAGTTTACTTCGCATTAATTTACTGCGAATTAAACTCGTCGTGTGAACAGGGCATTAGATGAACCTAGATCTGTTGGAGAGAAAATATGTTCAATTCTGTGTGAATGTTATTTGGGGGTCAGAGGTCATAGCACGACCGAATCACAGAGCGAACATGTGATATTTTGTCTATACACATTTCTGTCATGGTGCACCTTGTTTTGGAATGTTACGATAAAAAAGATAAAATGATAAACAATATGGATATTTTTCAATATTATTTTTATCATTTATTCCAAGCTCTTTGATTGGCTCAAACTTGATCACATGATTTTAAAGTATATAACAGCATAAAAACTTGAGTCACTATTAATAGAGTCTGAAATGCATATCGACTTGATGTTTCTGAAAATGGAGATAATTTTCTGTAAAGCAAAAATAGTACTGATCAACTCATCAAGTATGACTTGATGTATCTGAAAAAATATATTTACTACAACTTCAATTATTATTTTTCCATGTTCCTTAATCGATGAGACGTAACCATGCCTTGAATTAGGATCTACTTTATATTTCAACATATTGGATATGTTGTCAAAAATTGGTACAAAACATAATCAAATAAATTAAGTATTTTAAATAAGTAAATATTCTTAATTACTCCATCAATACAAAGGAAACACATTTACATTAAACAGCCTAATTTATTTAAAATTTATCTCTAGTCTCTAAGCTTTAAAGAGAGGAAACTTGTAGCTTGTTCACATTATTTGCAAATTTTGTTTTGTCAATATATGTAAAAAATAATATAACAAATGTAGCCCTTTAATTCGGTCAATCCATAGATATATCGACTTCACAGAAAAGCATATCGACCTCGCACTTCGTGCTCGGTAGATATGCTTTTCTGTGAAGTCGATATATCTATGGATCGACCTAATCAAAGGGCTATATTTATATAATGCAGGCTACAATGAATGTTCTTTTGATGTGAATAAGGTTTTGAATACTATAAATTAGCCTAAAACCGCACTTAGGATACCTTTTTAACCAAAAATTCCTATGGAGTTATGTAAACGAAAACAGGCGATACCGCCGCTTTTGACTTCAAATATTGTAAGAACCTATGAAATATTTAGATTATGCTCAGCAAAGAGCATTGTTCTTTCACCATAAACAGGTATTTCCTGAACTGGACTGTTAAACGTGAATGTAAACATTCTGATTTCAAATGTTGGAGCGAGGTAAACTAACTTTGGCCAAACAGCATTTGTGTCATTGGGCGTCACAACATATAGCAATACGGCGGCCCGTTCGTGTAATAAATGCAATTTAAGTCGAAACTTATTCGTCTCAAATGTAAATATAAGTAATAAATAATAATGTTAAAAAGTTCACTGGGAAATGAACTTTTAGTTGGTACGTGATCAAATCTACTGATTTTTTAACATTGTAGTTTATTTCTTAAATTAATATACCATAACATATTGCTACAATAACATATAACAGTTTCAAAGTGAAAAATCACATGTTGCAATTATCTAGAAGTTATAACAGATAACTGCACTTCATGTTATAATAAAGTAATGTTCAAAACACATATTGATTAATGAACTATGAATTTTACAATTGCACCTTTTTCCTTTTTTTTTTAAATTAATAAAGAATAAATATATAAATGTATGAAACTAATTCTAGTACATTTAATTAAATTAATTTTTTTTCAGGAAGAGGAAGTGTTGTTGCAAGAGAAATAATAAACAAGGTAATAAGAGTATAAATATAAAATTGTTTACCTTTTTAGACAATATTTTAAATTACTTTTCAAATGCAAATAGATTTGTAACATTAAATCCAGAATTTATTATAAATCAATCTTTGTCGAGAAAATAAATTAATCTATTTGAGAGTCACAGCCCAAAGTCTAGTACATTTGTAACCTTGACCTTATAGAAACGATTTAGCCACTTCGAACCCAGTTGACCTTGGCGTATGTTGTTACCGTAAGGTCAAAAACATCCTCTTTTGTAATGTAATCGTCTAATGTTTCTCTGCTTCAAAGTGATGGTTGAAGCAGGAATCTTTAATTTATGACCTTTATCTTTTAAAGCAACCTTTATCATAATGACTTTTTTGTATTTCAAATATGTGGCTAGAACAATAATTTAACACTTCATTTCGTTCAAATGGCCATTTCCAAATGATGTCCCATAGGACAAGTACGATTATAACAAAGAATGATTTGAGGGAGACGAACACTGTCACACATATTCTTTCCTTATTAATGCATTATTTCGATTTTATACAGCTATGGAATCAGGGCCACAGATTGTCTTGTATCAACCAAATCTTCAAGATCCCGACCATCACTATGCCAGAATTCCAATTAATAGTGTAAGCAATAACATTCAGGAAAAGGGAAATGTCGGTTTTTATTCCAAAGTAAATGAGGAAATCGGTCCAAGTATGAAGTCATTTTCTTGTCCCAAATATGAAAGTCAGAATATCGCATCTGAAAATGATTACCAAACGATGCCAGGAATAAGAGAGAAGAAGGAGCAAAAGTCAGACAGAGGGTCAGTTGGTTTAACTAGGAATAAACACTTACTTGAGGTAAAGAAAGAGGATAAAACCATTCAGTTCACAAATCAGAGTTATCAGCTGATGAAAGATATTGTCCCTTCGGACAATTACGAGGAAATGACTGGAGGACAAGCACCTGACAACTGTGACCACTACTCACACTATCAGCCAATGGACGGTACTGACCATTACCTGGCAATGTCAAGTCCAGATTGTACTACTGCTGCTGAAGACGAATACACTGTGATGGACGAATCAAATAACGGCAAGTATAGGAAAGACGTGGCACACAGCATTTTATATGGCAATGAAATTGGGATGCAAGAGGTTGATGCCTATGCCAACGAATCAGTAAGACGAGCAAAGAATTCCACAGAAATGACCACTGATGACGAAGTGTACGAGAAAATGTCATACTAAAACCCTAGAACTTAACCCCCTTTTTAGTTAAGTTTTTCTAGATTGATAATAAAATGATGTGGCAGGTCTTTCTATTTTTCAAAAATAAAAAAAAGTGTTCTCAGTCTTTCTGTTGAAACAATCCGTGAAAATGACTTCAAGATCTCCAATTATTTTCACGTTCTCTTTCTGAAGGTATATGTAAGCCCCAATATGTGTGCCCCAATATTTGTATCTAATTCAATGAAAAAACATTAAACTACTGAAACTTTTAAAATAATATTTGATAGGCACAATATAAAGAGTTCATAAACTATTTCAAAATGAAATTCACTATCCCTAGTTCAGACACCAAAGTGGGGCTTTAATTGTTAAATATATATTATAATGCATTATACCCTTAAAAGCTGTTTGCATCGTAAAAAAAATTCATGGTTGTGGGTCAGTTGATCATATATAATCATGAATATGGAGGTAACGAACAGTATTCAGTATCAAAGTCCATAAAACAATACAAAATAGGAGCAGAGCAAATACGGACCTCTTAAACATCAGAGATAGGATCAGGTGCCATGGAGGAGTAAGCATCCCCTGCTGACCGGTCACACCCGCCGTGTGCTCCTTGTCATGATCGGAAAATAACGGAAAAATCCGTAGTCAATTCAGTGTATAAATAATGGACTAACAATAAGTATGAAAAATGTCAGTCAGCATTTGACTCATTGATAAATTGTATTTGCTGACAAGAACATTGTATCGACAAAAGAACTTACGAAATTATGTCTTTAAACGATGCTGCTGATTTATTAAAAAAAAAAAAATACATATACGAGGGGTGATCAAAAAGTTCGCGAACTATCTCAATATTTACAAAACCACAACATAGATCAGAATGAAATTGGGCACACCTATAGTCATGCACATGTTTTATAAATAGCACATGAAAAGTAATTATTTTCTCCATCATTGCGACGTCACAATGTGAAAATGACATCAATATGTAGGTGACTCGTGACGAAAATTGGTTGCCCCAGTCTTACTCTAGTAAGGAACGGCTGTAAAGTTAAGCGTATAACTTAGAAATTCCTTTGAAGTAATTTATGATAATAAAATAATTTATAATAATATAAGGTTTATGAAGACAATATACTTTCCAGACTTTCAATAATAAATTTTATGGATTGTTTTAGTGAAGGGTGGGGGTTGGTTCAAAATGCTTTTTTGTTTTGTAGCCCAGCGAAGGCAAGCTGGGGAAGAGATGTGTCTGTTGTTGGGCAATTTGTTATTGAATATCTTAACAATTATGATTAAATCCCTAAAATGTTGTTTACGAAGTATATTAAATATGATAAAAAGAACAGCTACAAAAATAGTTGAATATTTTAACAATTTATATAATAATTAAATCCAAATGGACTAAAAAAATATTGTTTACTTTATGACTTTGTCAGTATATTAAATATGATAAAAAGAGAGGGTCACTTTAAAAAATAATAAACACTGAAACGCAGTTTTATTTGTTTTATGGAAGTTCTTCAATTTGTTCCGAATTTTAAAATTGAGAGCAGTATATATTCTAAAAGTCATCTACAATTATCCTAAAATCCATGTCCCCTAAGTCCGGGAGTCATGGAGGTGAGATGGCCAAATAAAGAAATCTGTTGAAACGTTTATCTTCTCCCATGTATTAAAAATTAAGGTACACTTAACAAATTGTTAAGTCTTTGGACAAGAGTCTATATTTCCAGGTCTAGGTGAGGCCAAATTGGCCATATATTGACAAACCCATTGATACAAAATTAGATCTGTGGTCATTTTAATTTTTGACCAACTACGACCCATATTTATAGAACTGGGCGTCGATTGGAGATAATACTGCACCCAGGGACCAAGAAAATAAAGATAGAGACTGAAATCATTGTAATCAGTTAGATAGTGTTCCCACTGAAAGTCTTCTTAAAAGGATGCTCAAAACTTTGATAACTTCAATAAATACATAACAAACATTTATGTATTATAGTGTGTTTTTATTCAGTGTTTTTCAGATAAGACAACGTTATAAAAATGTATCTAGATAATTTAAAATGAATCTAAACTTGAGGTGTATAAAAAAAACATCATTAAAAACTAAAATGAAATTAGATTTATCTGTGCTTAGGTTAGGAGAAATTTCTAAAAGAAAAAGAATACATCTTTGAAATAAGTCAATGATGCTCTGTAGGAAGCATTGTTAGTAACGGTGAATATCTTTTATGATGTAAAGTTCATAGTTATGTTACAAATACAAAATATACCGGGGAAATTTGAGGGAAAAAAAAATTGCAAAATAAAAATCATTGACTTTTGAATATGAAAAGAGCATTTCTGAATCTTATGAAATGCTTTTGTTTTGGCTAACTCTATAGCATAACATAAGAAAGATCTTACAGTTAAAATAGAATGACCCTATTACACAAATTAACGGGGGTCATGTTTCCTGAAAGCATAGTAGGAAGGATTGATGATTTCAGTCATCTCTAAAATGTTTTTGTCTTAGAAATCCATGTGGATATGCATTTGCAATTTGCACTATCTATGAGTAGCTCAGTAGCCACAGAGCTAATACCCTAAGTTTCACCTGAAGGTGTAAAAGTAAGAGTAAAATGTGCACAAGGAATAGGTCACGGCTCATCCTGTATTTGCAGGTTGATGTATCCGGAAATGTCCACCAGTTCCTTGCTGTCAAAGCTACCACTTATCTGATGGCGCCCGCTTCTGTTCACCGTGACCTTAATCTTTTCTTTCCACACAGAGTTGCCTGGAATGTCCCTAAAACAAAATCATAATTAATTGAATAATTAAATAAAACATGGAAATAACGAACAATATTCAAAATCAAAAATCCATAAAACAATACAAAATAGGAGCAGAACATGGACCTCAAAAACATCAGAGGTGGGATCAGGTGCCATGGAGGAGTGAACATCTCCTGCCGACCGGTCACACACGCCGTGTGCTCCTTGTCATGATTGGGAAATAACGAAAAACCCGTCGTCAATTTAGTGTATTAAAAAAATGGGCTAAAAGAGAGTATGAAAAGCGTCTGTCAGCATTTTACTTTATGATAAAATGTATTTGCTGACAAGGTCATTGTATCGACCATAGAACTTACCAAATGATGACTTTAAACGAGACTGCTGATATTGTTTCATCAACTTGTTTGTCAATAATTTACCTCGTTTTAGAATTTGTTCATACGTAGAGCATGCTCTTGCGTATCGAATCAACTGAGATATATTAACTCCGTATGCAGGTGATAGAGGTATATTGCTGCATAAGTAAGCGAAGTTGACGATTTAAAAGTTGCAAATACATGTATATTATGCGACAAGAGTGTTTCTTTAAAGTGTTTTTTAACAAGAGGCCCATGGGCCACATCGCTCACCTGAGCACTGTTGATAGAAAAAGTAGAAATTGGTTTATTATTGAAAAGTTTAAATCCAAAAGTTCCCATGACCAATCATGGCTTTGCTTTTAAATTTTTATTTTCCTATGTCAAAACTTTGACTTGTGGCAATGATTTGAACAAATTTGAATCTACACATTAAGCTTCCATATAAATATGTATTATAACTATGTTATCATTATTTTATGTAAAACTTTGGTTGGCCATTTTGGCCCCGCCCTACCCCCGGGGTCATGATTTGAACAAACTTGAATCTACACTACCTGAGGATGCTTCCATATAAATATAATAAAGCCATTATGGCTTTGCTATTCTTGAGAAGAAGATTTTGAAAGAATTTTCCTATATATTTCTATGTAAAACTTTGGTCGGCCATTTTGGTATTTCCATGAATTATTGAATCACAAAGATTTCCATATAAATATGATCATTTCTTTGCTATTCTTGAGAAGAAGATTTTTAAAGAATTTTCCTATATATTTCTATGTAAAATTTGCATTTTGGCAAAGACTAACTAGGCACAGTGGTTCTTGAGAAGAAGATTTTTAAAACATATTAATTCCCAATTATCTCCCCTTGAATGAGGGCGTGGCCCTTCATTTGAACAAATTTGAATTCCCTTCACCCAAGGATGCTTTATGGCAAGTTTGGTTGAAATTGTCCACAGACAGACGGACGCCGGACAAAATGTGATCAGAAAAGCTCACTTGAGCCTTCGGCTCAGGTGAGCTAAAAATATATTCTTTACAAATAAAGAAGGTACGGAATTACCAATTTTTCTCATCAAAACACTTGCAATACTTCCACCTTTATTCATTTAAGCAGTAGTTATCATTTTTTCACAAACAAAGCGGTACTAGCATTTCCTTTTTTAACTAACACCTATGGTATTTCCAATTATACACAAAGATTTCTGTATTTCCACTGCTGCTGTAATTTGCACAAAGACTAAAGACAGTGACTAAATTTCCACAAACATTTGCGATATTTCTAACTCTTTACACAAACACGACATTTTCACCTCTTTATACTTGCGGCTTTTCCATTTTCATCTACATACTTGCAATTTCTCTTGGACAAACAATTACGGTATCCACCTCTTTACTTTCCAACAATTACGGTTTTTCATCGGAACATTTTTTAAAAGTTATTTTGTCTTATTTAACTGGTAATTCATTTCCACCTCTTTACACAAACAATTAAGGTCCATGTATACATCTTCACACAAAAATATCTCTACCACTATACACAAATACTTACGGCATATCCATTTCTTCATCTTCTACCACTCCATCCAGGTCAAGCTTACATTCTGTCAGTTTATAGGGAAGTGAGTTCTTAAAAGATACCGTTAAATCAAACGGCTCTCCTTTAAATGTTAGTAATGGAGCCTGCAAATAAAGCGACATTTGGGTTGCATATGTAGATTTGTAAATAACAGTGTTTATTTTATTTCAATGTGTTTATCATCTTACTCCTTGCCCTCTCTTTGTTAGCCCCCCTCTCAATTTTCAACCCTGTCTCCCATTTTTACTTGCCCGATCCAGAGGTGAGTTATGTCAGTCCCAGGTAAAAAAGGCCATTTTAAAGTTAACATAATTGTGAGTAAAACTAAAGCAGATAAAGCATGACTTGTAATTGCCTACCACATAAGTTAACACAACTTTACAGAAAATTAAGGTTGACATGTAATTCTTCATTATGCTTTCCATGCTACAGTATTACGTACAAGACATTCTATGGGACCAATGTTAAATAATTTTTGATAACAACTTGATTAGCCAGTATAGATAGAACAATGAATTACATCAAAAGACAGGTCGGGCCTTCTTAAGCGGAAGTCATCCGTCTTCATGTACATTGCACCGGTTTCTTGGACAAAAGCGCTGACACGAATTTCCATGGCACACTGCTCAACAAGAAATGGTATGTATGTTTTTCCTGTAACTTCATGCTTGATAGTATGTTCTAAAACAAAATGTGAAAGAGGTGAAAAATACACAAATTCAGTTAATTTGAACATTACTTTATGATATTTCAAAAATATATTTGTCTTAAATTCGAACTGGTTTCTACCGTTGTGTCAAACGTAACTTCTACAAAACGCTTGCAAGTCATTTATGTGCTTGGTTATTAGTTACTAGTATTATTTGTACCTTCTTCAGACTTTCCAGAAAGGACGATGTCGTTGAAGCTATGACTAGTGACCTTGGAGACGATTTCGCCAGTGTAGCGCTTTGTGAAGACGTCTATTGTCAGACTAGCAATGGTCCTCTCCTCCTCACATAGTTTCTTTATTTTGACTTTTACCGTAAAATTCTCGCCCACCATTATTCCATCCTCGTCCAAAAGACTCACTTTTATATCCTTTAATTTGAATATTGTAAGATTACCATTTAATATTTATTGGAAATATTATATAAACATTGCATATTGAAGATTAATTTTGATGGACCTTTTCCAATATACATGTATGTATGTATGTCAACTGCATACATGACTATGCAGTGCTAACATATAATACTAGACAGACCAGTTTCCAATTTTGTTGGCGTTATTTCACAAAATTTATTTATACTAAAACTTTTCTCTTAGTTACACAATAACATGTATATTTGGGAAAACATTTTAACCTGATGTGCTTTTGTGAACAAACTAAATATACGATTTCGTTTTTTCAGTCTTTATGCAGTTTCATTATAGTCATTTAGCAAAATCCTTCAGATTTCATCTTAAAATTCCCCTGAATTGCTTTTGATTAAGTTTATATTGGGATTGTTTGGCGGTCACATTAATGTAATACTAGTAAGAATTCAGAAAATGTATTGCACTCGAAAAAACGTTTGGGCTCCGACAGATACTGTTATATGATAGTGTCCTCACAATGTCAAGATTTTGTGATTTCGGAACTCTGCATAGAGTTCACCCTCACAATGTCAAGATTGTGTGATTTCGCTCCGAAATCACCAAACATTGACATTGTGAGGATGGTTAGTACCATGTGTACTTGTTCAGCTGCAGCTATATATTAGATTGAGGTAAATTATCAACTATGGTTGTAGAAAGTTATTTTTAATATATACGAATATTAAAACAAGATTCAATTATTCACAGCAACTGATTTTCATGATAATTTACAGAATGTGCAACAAACTAAATGATATCAAACAGATGTTAAGTTGTATGACCTTGTTCATGGGTTTTAGCAGCTTTCGGTCGTTCTTGGACATCGTAGAGGCACGGGTAACTGTAATTCTTTCTTCTAACGTACCTGTTTGTACACATTTATGCATGTTTTTCATATAGTAGTCTAGTATATAAAAATAGTTTTAATGTTGAAAAGAATTTAAGCCATAAGCCCTACTAACCCTCTTTATATTTGTAATGTTCCGTAATGTCCTCCCTGGATTTCTCGGCTCCTACTCCTTGCGTCGCAGAAAAAGGTTCGCCATCAGCAATTTTCGTACTGATGCATCTACCAACGCTTAAAACCAAGAAAATGCAAATTGTAAACTGTATTAACTTGCATAAAATTCAATGTTGTAAAAAAAAAACATTTATAATTGACCTACTCGTTTGTATCTGAATACAGTAGCTGCCACTTGTCATCTTCCAGGACCTGCCAAATCATTTTGTCGGCATTGACCTCGGCAAATACGAAGCCTGTGTCGTAGTTCAGAGAACACTCGCCCTTCTTAATGGCTGCGATTGATGTTGGGCCACAGCAGTACACATCTATTGCACATATGTGTATATAAAAGGTTAAATCACAAATAAATGTTATTGTAATAGAGTCTATATTGAATTATTGCAAGTTTCAGATATATATGAGAAATTTGCTTACATTTCTTCAAACTTGATATACACCCCAATTGGTTTTAAGATAAATTGATCAATTCATTTTACGATTACTAAATTTCATTTGAAATAAGATATTCTATTTCCCCCAAAAAGGTTTTAAATCAAAAGCTAAATGACTGACTTCCACTAAGTTCCTGGGGTGTAGCATCTATTGCTTGCCACCCATCGTAGGTGCTTCCCAGATCTTTGCGAGCCATCCATACTTCATTCCAGACGTGAAAATTCCTATAAAAATTGTTAAGATTTTGTAAAACAAGCAGTTAGAAATTCTTATCGATTAAAAGGAAAAAGTTCCGAGCTAGTAAATCCTTGCAATGTTCCCTCCTGTCCTACAAAATTTAGAAGACATTATTTTATATTGGGGGTATGCCAGGGACATCAACGTTAGTTGGAGACGCGTTGGAAACGCTTCGCTCTTTATGCAAATTATCCCACTTTTCGAACTATTGTTGATGCCCTGGCATACCTAACAAACAAAACTGATTGCTTTCTAAAATATCATAACCAACGATAATCCAAAACAAAAATCTCACCTAATTTCTATTTTTTTTTTTTTTGTATATAAAAGGAAAAGAAATAGGACGCACCAGACTGAATCGTTGGAGAGTTCTGGGACTTTTTCCAATTTTCCATTTTCGTTTTTACGCATGACGGTATCTATGGTGAGGCTACAATCTGTGTCGTGAGCAGAACTAAAGTTTGTCACGCTTCTTGCAGGCAGGCCTAGCGCTCTACAAACTAGATGCATCGACAACAATTAAATTAATTTCTACAAGAAATATTTTACAAAAATTATTCTAGAAAAGTTTTTTGGAACGTATATATATGTACTTCAACAGTTCGATGCTATATTTAGCAATTAAGAATCATGGCACTAAGAACTCAGTTTTCAATAACAATAAGTTCATTGTTTCAGAATAATAACCAAGGGTACAGGAATACCTAAACTTGAAGGTGTTTGTAACTGTGTCTTCCTTTTAAAAAAAGAATATGTTATCAATGCGTTTTTATCATTGAAGATATCTAGATGTAACAAATCAACGGGAATTCTAAAAAAAAAAATGTTTGCCTTCGATAATAACCTGTAGTCACGAGTCCCGAGAATACCCAGCATTGACCAAAACAAACGGGATCCCCGCCATTTTCCTCATATTGACGCAATATTTTTGGACTTCCGGACCAGTGAGTCGGTTTCCGGCCGTCACTGTAGTCTCCACTCCAGTTTCCAACAAGTACCCCATCATCATCTTGGCAGTTTATCTGTAGACGTACAAAAGTTAAATTAAGATAAAAGCTAGTGCAAATCTGGCTACAAGATACTATCATGTGATTTATACTATATATTATGAGTAGATCTAAAATTTAGATGGATTGTACTTATGATTTAACTAATTGTGCGAAATTATATATTTGATTTTATTGATTGTGATCTGTAATAATATTCACGAATTTACTTACGGTGATTTGTGATTATATTCACGATTTTACTGATGGTGATGTGTGATTATATTCACGATTTTACTGATGGTGATGTGTGATTATATTCACGATTTTACTGATGGTGATGTGTGATTATATTCACGATTTTACTGATGGTGGTGTGTGATTATATTTACGATTTTACTGATGGTGATGTGTGATTATATTTACGATTTTACTGATGGTGATGAGTGATTATATTTACGATTTTACTGATGGTAATGTGTGATTATATTTACGATTTTACTTATGATGATGTGTGATTATATTCACGATTTTACGGATGGTAATGTGTGATTATATTTACGATTTTACTTATAGTGATGTGTGATTATATTCACGATTTTACTGATGGTGGTGTGTGATTATATTTACGATTTTACTGATGGTGATGTGTGATTATATTTACGATTTTACTGATGGTGATGTGTGATTATATTTACGATTTTACTGATGGTAATGTGTGATTATATTTACGATTTTACTTATGATGATGTGTGATTATATTCACGATTTTACTGATGGTGATGTGTGATTATATTCACGATTTTACTGATGGTGGTGTGTGATTATATTTACGATTTTACTGATGGTGATGTGTGATTATATTTACGATTTTACTGATGGTGATGAGTGATTATATTTACGATTTTACTGATGGTAATGTGTGATTATATTTACGATTTTACTTATGATGATGTGTGATTATATTCACGATTTTACGGATGGTAATGTGTGATTATATTTACGATTTTACTTATAGTGATGTGTGATTATATTCACGATTTTACTGATGGTGGTGTGTGATTATATTTACGATTTTACTGATGGTGATGTGTGATTATATTTACGATTTTACTGATGGTGATGTGTGATTATATTTACGATTTTACTGATGGTAATGTGTGATTATATTTACGATTTTACTTATGATGATGTGTGATTATATTCACGATTTTACTGATGGTAATGTGTGATTATATTTACGATTTTACTTATAGTGATGTGTGATTATATTCACGATTTTACTGATGGTGGTGTGTGATTATATTTACGATTTTACTGATGGTGTGTGTGATTATATTTACGATTTTACTGATGGTGATGTGTGATTATATTTACGATTTTTCTGATGGTAATGTGTGATTATATTTACGATTTTACTTATGATGATGTGTGTGATTATATTCACGATTTTACTGATGGTAATGTGTGATTATATTTACGATTTTACTTATGATGATGTGTGATTATATTTATGATTTTACTTATGGTAATGTGTGATTATACCTACGAATTACTGATGGTGCGTGATTATATGTATTTATTGAAGTTATTACAACATGTGTATCAATCGAACACGTGTTTGTCTAGTGTATATGACAGCTGTATGAAGAGTGTCGGTCTGATCAGTTCAAGTATTTATAGAATACAGCTGTTCTACAGGTATTCTGTTAAAGCACGCACGCTTTAGCGTATACTATTGAGATTTGAATGCCATTCGAAGGCTCTTTTTCAGTGCAGTCAGACATCCCCCCGCCGACCCACCCTCACAAGTATCATTTTTGTTTTAATAATTATATGATTTTGTTTTGTAGATTGTATGAGTTGTCAAGAAGGAAAGTCGGAAATAAATATTTTGTATATAATATTAAACGGCACTTACGAGAGCGCTTCTAAATCTATCATATACGTGTTGTTATTTATTTTATAAATTATTTATGTTCGTTTGAGTGGAAACGAATAAGAACACAATTTACGATTTTACTTACGATGATGTGTGATTATATTTACGATTTTACTGATGGTGATCTATGATACTTACGGAGGTGTGTGATAATATTTACGATTTTACTTATAGTGATGTGTGATTATATTCACGATTTTACTGATGATGATGTGTGATTATATTTATGATTTTACTGATGGTAATGTGTGATTATATTTATGATTTTACTGATGGTAATGTGTGACTATATTTACGATTTTACTTACGGTGATGTGTGATTATATTTACGATTTTACTTATGGTGATCTACGATTATACTCAGTATTTACAATTTTACTGATGGTGCGTGAAATCTGAATCGGATCCAACATCCCTTTTGCGTTCACGGTGTTTCCATGAGCTCTCCGTAGAAGGTGAAAGCAAATTTCCAGGATACCCTCCTCAAACTTAAAAAGAAATGAGGTTCATATTAAAACCATGTTAACCCTTGGATTTCATGACTAGTAAACAAAAAAGGAAGAATCACAAACCTGACCAAAATTCCATGTCCTTCCTCCGATTTGTCGATAGTTACCACAGTATACAACTCCTTTGTCGTTCAGAATATACTCATCCAAAAGTTTCTCATCAGAGAGATACACTGGGTCATCTAGCAATAATTTATATTCATTTCAATTTTTCTCCTCTACTTCTGACACATATACTTGAGGGTGTCGTTATAAGGTGCGAGGTCACTTAATTGCGAAAGTGAGTTTCTTTAGTTCGTACATTTATTTTTAATTTACATTACTTTATTTTATCATATATCATTATAATATGATTGATTTGGAATCTTCTCCCAGAACATCGTTGGAACCAAAGGGTATTCTCTCCCTTACACTGCATTCAACCCGGTTGTGAACGGAGAGAAAATCCTAGGGTTCCGACGATGCTCCCAGGAATTCCTATTTTCAGGGATGTCTCGAGCCCTAAGGTACTTGCGAGTTTGTGCCGCATCAGAATTGACAACGAGGCTTTTCTAATGAACATTAAAGTCTAACCTTTACACCAAGGATTCAGCAGAATATTAATGTCTTCCGAAACCTCATAACAATATGCTTTGTCAGACGATTTATCAGATGATGACGTCACGATGCCCAGTGACCATTCGCCAATGACACAAGAACTGGACGGTGTAATGTCCAGACGAACGAAGGATTCTTTGGTCTCCTTTATGTGACATTTCCAGCCATGTTCTGTTTTCTCTGATTTCAGAGGCTCAAGCTGAACTAATGTATTATCTGATGGCTTTGGAAATTTTCCTAGAGATAAACATTTATAGAGATCTAATTACACTTCTAAAATGATATGAGAAACCAAAGGGCTTTTATAATTCTAAAATGTACATATGTAAACCTTAATTTGTAAAATGTATATACATGTGCTAGTATATGTATATATATTTACAGGTACATTTTTGTCTCATATATGATTCTGAGATAATGGTTTTTTTCCGGATAGGGCCATGCAGGTAATTTATGTGGTCTATTACCTTGATACTTGTACAACTAATACTTACAGCTATTAGTTATTTTTACCTGTCATCATCACTAGTTGTAGTGGGTGTTTGTCACGTAAGAAGGGTTGATTGAAGTTGATTTTGATTCTAAAATTTTGACCACGTCTAATTACCAGCTCCGGGGGTAGAGTTTTTCCGTCTTGATCCTTACGAGATTGTGTAAGAGCGTAAAGGGCAGTTCTGTGATTTTTGGCATTGTCTTCAATGTTTAAGTCGACTGAATCCACATGTAGTTCCTTGGAAAGTTCTTCCTTTGTTGCCTTTTCCTCTTTTTCTTCAACTGTAATCACAAAATGATAGTGGTGTTACTGATTGAAATTTAAAATAAAAAGACTACCCGATATCGAACAAACACGAAATGTTCTATGTCCAATGATAAAAGAACTTTGAAGCAACTGGAATTGGTTAGACCAGCAGCGATGTGACCCACTTGCGAAAGGGTAAAAAAAAAAATAAAATAGTAAATGACAATGCACTTGGTTGTTTATACAAAAAACAACAATACATTCATACCATTTTTTGCCGTGTCTACTGTTGATGTAGTCAAAGGTTTGGCAAGGCGCTCATCCCGTGCCCATGGTTCTTCCCTTGTTCGTGGTGGCCCGTATGTGGCAATATTCCGCACAACTGTCGTCGTCGGTTCCTCGCATTCTTGAGTGCTTTCGGTCAGCAACGGGGTGAAATTTCCATTCCGATAAAGTCTTGTATACATCCTGTAAGTATTTTGAAAATGTTTGATGTCGGAGAAGAGGGAAGAAAATAGGAACTGGGAGACAATGTCGACTCTCTCTCTCTCTCTCTCTCTCTCTCTCTCTCTCTCTCTCTCTCTCTCTCTGGTTTGTACTTATCAAAAACCATTGCACTATTTTATGTATCTTTGTGTAGTCTACTTGTGTGCCAACTTATTTTGAAATCAGAAAAAAACTGTAGGAGGAGTAGCGTTTTAAAGGAATTTTACAGAAAATTCTATTTTTAGTAACCATGGTAACACCGTTCATCGAAATCAAAAACCAATGCTCTATTCTATGTATGTTAGTGTAGTCTACTTGTGTGCCAAGTTATATTGAAATCAGACAAAAACTGTAGAAGGAGTAGTGTTTTAAAGGAATTTCACAGAAAATTCTATTTTTAGTAACCATGGCAACACCGTTCATCCAAATCAAAAACCGATGCAGTATTCTATGTATTTTAGTGTAGTTTACTTGTGTACCAAGTTATACTGAAATCAGACAAAAACTGTAGAAGGAGTAGCGTTTTTAAGGAATTTTACACAAAATTCTATTTTTAGTAACCATGGCAACAACGTTCATCGAAATCAAAAACCGATAATTTATTCTATGTATCTTAGTGTAGTCTACTTGTGTGCCAAGTTATTTTGAAATCAGACCAAAACTGTAGAAGGAGTAGCGTTTTAAAGGAATTTCACATAAAATTCTATTTTTAGTAACCATGGCAACACCGTTCATCCAAATCAAAAAACGATGCACTATTCTATGTATTTTAGTGTAGTCTACTTGTGTGCCAAGTTATATTGAAATCAGACCAAAACTGTAGAAGGAGTAGCGTTTTTAAGAAATTTCACAGAAAATTCTATTTTTAGTAACCATGGCAACACCGTTCATCCAAATCAAAAACCGATGCACTATTCTATGTATCTAAGTGTAGTCTACTTGTGTGCCAAGTTATACTGAAATCAAACTAAAATTGTAGGAGGAGTAGCGTTTTGAAAAATTGTTTACAGACGGACAGACAGACAGACGGACGGACGCCGGACGCATTACTATCGCATAAGCTCTTCTGGTCTCTGACCAGTAGAGCTAATTATATGATCTATTATAGCTCTGAAGGAGGAAATGAGCACTTATTGTTATGTTTTGATCGTTTGTGTGAAAATATATACATGTACAGTGAACTATAGTTTTGTGCACCATCGGTACATAGTGTTACAAATTTTTGAAACTCTTGACAAAGTCAAATTTCTGTAACAGTTTATGTACTTTCTTTTGTTACATTATACTAGTATAAAGGATAATGATGATTTATTACCTATGTAAAAATATAAATACATGTACTAGTATATTACTAGGATTACAACACATTTAAAGGGACATGCCTCGACCTAAAACAGCTACCGGTATACATGTATCATATAATAGACACACATATTGTAGATATACTGAAGTAGAGAGAGAGAAAGAGGGAGAAAGATTCACTTGCTTGACACATGTAGTACATGTGTCAAGCGGCGATCATGTACACACCGATTTACTCATCAAATAAAGATGAATATCGCGGAAAAAGGGCAGAGAGAGAGAGAGAGAGACAACGAGAGAGAGAAAATGAGAGAGATAAAGTCACTTACTTGACTGTCTTTGATGGTGCCTTTTAAATTTATGTTGTTTGTAATGATTTAAATTTTTGTTTGCTGTATCTTGGGAGACGGCTTCATAAATACTCGCTACGCTCCACCTAAAATCGTTCATCAAAATAACCGGGAAATCAATGCATGTACCGTAAGCTCAATTGAGCTTCTCAAATGCACCATAAGCATGCCCGAATGCCTGTCGACATGCAATAGGAGTCCTACATATTGTGAACTGGGTGTCAGGTTTTTGCAATGGCGCTCTTTAAACTCTATTCCTATAACAATGCCTCTAGCTGTGGTATTCAAACTCAAGGTTGTTGCACGCTTATTAGCAGCTACTTTATCATGCACAGTGCATTTGAACTCAAAACAAAAGGGGGGCTGTTTATGGCTTTTCTATTTGTTGAATAAATATTCTATTCTATCTTCCGAATGTCTTTCGAAAATTATAAGAACTGTGTGTGTGCCCGCGTGTTCGCTTCACATAGAGTCAACTTTAAATAATATCGCATGATATTGTGCAGTTAAAATAACCAATTTTCTAATAAGTATAACAATATTGCATAATATTGTGCAATCAGAATGCAAGTTTTTTAAAAGATATGTTAAAAAATACTTAGATGGACATGCCCTTATTTTCTTTAGATTATATCTATCCATTATGATCGAGTCCGGATGGCGTGAATAGCTTATTAGGCGCAAGTTGAGAAAAATAGGGGCATGTCTACTCAAGTATTTTGAAACATTGTAAAAAATATCGAAAAACAGTCATAGAACAAGATATGGTAGATTCATTTTTAGCCCCTGGTTTGAAATGTCTCTTTGAACGTTTCTGTAGTTCAAAAACGAACAACTGTTATCATATTCATTATAAAATAAGCATTGATTCTAAGTGATACAATCTAATAATATAAGCAGAGGTCAGAGAAATGTCCCAAAATTTCCAATTTTTCTCATTTCTGTTCTAATTTGAATAAATTTTAAAGCACATTTTGTGTCAGATAACACAGAGCACAACCTATTGCGTAATCTTTGATTCAAAATTAAACTGGGTTAAGAAATATCATTTCAAGATTTCTTAATTGCATACTTTCACAACTTTGAATTACAAATTTTTCTTTTGATTTTCATAGCAAATAAGAGGCCAAATTTGGGCATTAAAGGACCTTGTCCTTTGGTGAAAAACCAGAAGTCTCTGTCGAGACTGTAGCTCTACTGGTTTGTACTTATAAAAAACCATTGCACTATTTTATGTATCTTAGTGTAGTCTACTTGTGTGCCAACTTATTTTGAAATCAAACTAAAACTGTAGAAGGAGTAGTGTTTTAAAGCAATTTCACAGAAAATTCTATTTTTAGTAACTATGGCATCACCGTTCATCAAAATCAAAAACCGATGCATTATTCTATGTATCTTAGTGTAGTCTACTTGTGTGCCAAGTTATTTTGAAATCAGACTAAAACTGTAGAAGGAGTAGCGTTTTAAAGGAATTTCACAGAAAATTCTATTTTTAGTAACCATGGCAACACCTTTCATCCAAATCAAAAACCATTGCACTATTTTATGTATCTTAGTGTAGTCTACTTGTGTGCCAACTTATTTTGAAATCAGAACAAAACTGTAGCAGGATTAGCGTTTTAAAGGAATTTCACAGAAAATTCTATTTTTAGTAATCATGGCAACACCATTCATCGAAATCAAAAATCGATGCACTATTCTATGTATCTTAGTGTAGTCTACTTGTGTGCCAAGTTATTTTGAAATCAGACCAAAACTGTAGAAGGAGTAGCGTTTTAAAGGAATTTCACAGAAAATTCTATTTTTAGTAACCATGGCAACACCGTTCATCGAAATTAAAAACCGATGCACTATTCTATGTATCTTAGTGAAGTCTACTTGTGTGCCAAGTAATATTGAAATCAGACTAAAATTGTAGGAGGAGTAGCGTTTTGAAAAATTGTTTACAGACAGACGGACAGACAGACGGACAGACAGACAGACAGACAGGACGCCGGACGCATTACTATCGCATAAGCTCTTCTGGTCTCTGACCAGTAGAGCTAAAAACTAAGAATCTATAAAGTCAGTACACTGTACAATGATTTGAAACCTCCAAAGCTCAAAAAATTATATACCCTCCTCAGGTGGTAGCTCATCATCCACCAGAGTTTTTAGCTCACCTGAGCCGAAGGCTCAAGTGAGCTTTTCTGATCACATTTTGTCCGTCGTCCGTCCGTCTGTCTGTCCGTCCGTCCGTCTGTCTGTCCGTCTGTAAACTTTTCACATTTTCGACTTCTTCTCAAGAACCACTGGGCCAATTTTGACCAAACTTGGTACAAAGCATCCTTGGGTGAAGGGGAATCTAAATTGTTAAAATGAAGGGACATATCCCCTCGGAAGGGGAGATAATCAAGAAAAGACAAAAATAGGGTTGGGTCATTAAAAAATCTTCTTCTCAAGAACCACTGGGCCAGTAAAGCTGACACTTACGTGGAAGCATCCTGGGGTAGTGTAGATTTTAAATTGTTCAAATCATGACCCCTTGGGGAAGGGCGGGGCCACAATGGGGAATCAAAGTTTTATATAGAAATATATAGGAAAAATCTTTGAAAATCTTCTTCTCAAGAACCACTGGGCCAGAAAAGCTGAAACTTATGTGGAAGCATCCTGGTATAGTGTAGATTCTAAATTGTTCAAATCATGACCCCCGGGGGAAGGGCGGGGCCACAATGGGGTATCAAAGTTTTACATAGAAATATATAGGAAAAATCTTTGAAAATCTTCTTCTCAAGAACCACTGGGCCAGAAAAGCTGAAACTTATGTGGAAGCATCCTGGTATAATGTAGATTCTAAATTGTTCAAATCATGACCCCCGGGGGAAGGGCGGGGCCGCAATGGGGAATCAAAGTTTTACATAGAAAGATATAGGAAAAATCTTTGAAAATCTTCTTCTCAAGAACCACTGGGCCAGAAAAGCTGAAACTTATGTGGAAGCATCCTGGTATAATGTAGATTCTAAATTGTTCAAATCATGACCCTCGGGGGAAGGACGGGGCCACAATGGGGTATCAAAGTTTTACATAGAAAGATATAGGAAAAATCTTTGAAAATCTTCTTCTCAAGAACCACTGGGCCAGAAAAGCTGAAACTTATGTGGAAGCATCCTGGTATAGTGTAGATTCTAAATTGTTTAAATCATGACCCCCGGGGGAAGGGCGGGGCCACAATGGGGAATCAAAGTTTTACATAGAAAGATATAGGAAAAATCTTTGAAAATCTTCTTCTCAAGAACCACTGGGCCAGAAAAAGTGAAGCTTATGTGGAAGCATTTTTGGGTAGTGTAAATTCTAAATTGTAGGAATCATGACCCCCGGGGGAAGGGTGGGGCCATTATAGGGAATCAAAGTTTTACATAGAAAGATATAGGAAAAATCTTTGAAAATCTTCTTCTCAGGAACCACTGGGCCAAAAAAGCTGAAACATATGTGCCCATGGAAAGTTCATGGGGTAGTGTAGATTTCAAAATGTCTAAATTATGATCAGTGGGGTAGGGTGGGGATGCATTATGTATAACAAGGGGGAAATCTGGTAAAGAACAGAATGGTCAAAGCTTCTCAGGTGAGCGATGTGGCCCATGGGCCTCTTGTTTTTTTATCCCCTAATTAAACAATAGAAATGTTAACCTGTGTCCATATTCAATCAGTAGTATCATAAAATGATGAAATTCAAAATCACAAAAGAAATAACACTAAATGAGTGTTTAAAAGAAATTTAATTGCAAGTATATGATGTAAATATTATAAACAAAGTAAATCTCACAGACAGGAACTATCAAATACTAGCATGACTGGTACTCTGTATTTTGTTGGGCATAAAACAACTAGGAAAAAACAAAGTCATCTATCATGAAAAAAAGGTAAATAACTAAAATTTGCTGCTTTTATAGCTATAAAATATTGATTTTATAAAAGTGCAAAAGTTCACAGAATCCTAAGCCTAACACATGACTGACTCAGAGGCATTTCTGTAACAATATGAGCAACAACTGTTTCTTTGTATTAAGTCCAGGTATTAGATCATTTTTTCCCCTTCTATTTGACCTGGACTTCAGCTCTGCCAGAGATGTCTGGGACTTCCAGACTGTCAAACGTAGCAGAGAACTGTTCCATACCGACTCTCCTGGCCTTGACCTTCACAGAGAGGCTCCATTCAGAGTGGGCGGGGACATCTCTACAACAAAGGTCAACCTACTGTTTATACTGTTCTCAAGTAACACAGAATAAAGATATAAAATGAATTTCTGATATAAATGTGACCTTAATTTATAAGATTATATGCATACAGATCCAAAGAGGCATTCCCTAAAGCAACAGTTTTAATCAGGCTGGTAAAATTCTCTAAAAATATCAGTACTGTTTTTTTTAAACATTAAATAAAACTCTTTTAAATGTCATATTATTCTTACTTTTGTGGAATTTCCTTTATTTTTTCAAATCCCGCTCCACCTAAATACAAAACACACTTGGTCATTGGGACAGGTAAAAAGTTTTTAAAGCTGAGTTCAGCTGTAATTTCTTCTCCCTTTTTACAGCTACTGGGCATCTGCAATGGCAAATGGGATTTCATAAAATTGGGAATAATAAAAAACAAGCAAATGTTTATCATAATTATCTGATAAAACACCATGACTGGCAATGCAGGAGTCCCTGGTCTATTAATAAATCCAGCCATACATTTTCTCTTTTCCAGTCAAATAATTTGGTGTTACCAGGATTAAAATAACAGGAAAGGAGAAAATGTATGGCTGGACTGGGAATCAAACCAAGAACTCCTGCATTACTAGTCAGGTGCTCTATACCATCTCTAAGCTATCTAGGCCAATATTCATGGCCTTAATCATTACATGGAACCTGGACCTAAGTATAATACTGGTACCTCCAGGTAAAAGTTTTCTTTTTCCAAGGACAACTTACTTTGATTTCAATATCCGGTCTCCTTAGTCTAAAGTTGTCCACATTGACAATGTTTTCTGTGCTGTTATTCTCCCTGGTAACCGTGGCCGAGATGATGACTTCCATATTGGCTTGTTCTGCTATTTTGTTAAGATAGACACTGGAGGGGACACTCTCCTTTATTGTTTTACCTTCAGAAAAAGGAGGAGAATTTATTTTATATAGAATTAAATTACCAAAAAAAAAAAAATTCTCATTAGTGCTGTGTAATAAATGTGTAATAAAGAGACAGAAGCAATGTGAAAGTGAGTAAGATTTACTTTCTTTTCCCGCCAATGTAAAGCCTGCGAGAGGTTTGAAGAGGATTTTGGATTTAATTTCTCCTGTGTAGAATTTGGAGTAGAGCTCTAGATGTAGCCTGGAGATATCTCTCTTCTGACTGCTGGTGTTGGTGATTTTAAATTCCAGGGAATAATCCTGTCCTACCATTATCCCATCAGTCTTCACAAATTCTATTGTCACATCCTTATGTACAAGTTAGTTAATAAGATAAATATTTCAACTGTACTCATACAGAATTTCACAGTGTTATTACAGTAAGGACATATGAAATGTACTTTTTTAAATGAATTTCCTGACAAATTTTTGCACAAAAGGAATGAAATGGTAGAGAAGACAACATACTTTGGGACTTGGTTTTCCTCGGTGTACCAAAGAAGATTGTGCTGCATTATCAACTGCTCTTTGTGCTTCTCTTGACCCTAAATATTAAAAAAAATATAAATGAAAAAGCCTTTAAAAGTGAAACATATAAATGCATTAAACTGCATACAGCAATAAAAAATATCCAGTTGATGTTTCTGTACAGTAAAAACATGAGATGCAATATATCACTTGATAATACTTGTATCTTTAATATACATGTCTTTGTTTTATTCGTCCATGTAAAACCTTTACAAACAAGAACATTACATAGGAATAAGGATTAGAAGAATAACCTTCTGGGAACTTGTAATCTGAAGTCACATCATGTGGGACATCTTTTAAGCAGCGAGAAATGGTCAGTGATTCTGTGTAAGGTTTACCATCGGGTTTCTTGGAGTAGATCTTTGTGCCAGTCCTGTACATATATAGATAAAAATGTACATAAAAACACCTTTCTGTGCTAAAAGTTGTAGCATTTGAATCCTATAAATAGATATATAAATAAAAATATATTTTTAAAACTTACACAGATGTGTTTATGCCCATGTTGATCCATGTATGTTTGTTAACATACTCCCATCGGATGTGGTCTGAGTTCACTTCCGCAAAAACAAAAGGAAGGTCGTACATCATCTTACAGTTACCAGTCTTAATGGCCGCCACAGGAGCTGGTCCACAACAGTAAATTCCTATGAAAAATAAATAAACATGAGTTCAGATAAGGATTTTGAACATGAAGAAATCTTATTTGTGTCAATCCTTGTCAAATAAACACTTTTACAATGAATGTTATGTATTCGAAATGTTTAGTTATAAATTATGGACTATTACTGGTTGAGTATAGATATACCGTACTAACCATTACTTAACTCCTGAGGTGTAGCATCTATCACCTGCCATCCACAGTACTCATCCTCAAGGTCAGGACGGGCCATCCACACCTCATTCCATACATGGAAATTCCTGAAAAAGTTGTCACATAATGAAACTACAAACAATTTTTTATTGGAAGAAGCCAATGGCCATCTCTTTGTTTCCGAGTGTCACATTTCACAAATTTAGATTGGTATGCACAGTCTAATACCATTTTTTAGCAAAAGCATTTCAAGATTACCAGATGGAATCATTTGATCTTCTTTCATCTTTTTCAAGCATCCCATCAGAATTTCTTTTGAACACGACATCAATGGTTGTGCTACCATCAGTGTCATGTGCCGAGTCAAAGCAGGTCACACTCTTACAGGGCATGCCAATGGCTCGACATACTGTAAGCAAAACAATGGTGCAATTCACAATATTTTTATATTTTAAAAAAAAATTCTGTTGTGTACATGATTAGATAGTATCTGCTGTTTTTTTCTCTCTGTATTTCTAGTAAACTTAATGAATTGTTCAGTTCCGTTACCTGTAGTTACCACGGCAGAGAAGACCCAGCACTGCCCGTACCGGACTGCTTCACCTTTTGACCTTGCATACTGCAGCAGAATGTCAGCACTGCTAATCCACGATGTAGGGCTCTTACCATCTGAGTAATCACCAGACCAGTTACCAACCAACACCCCATCATCATCATTAGAGTTTATCTAATTCAGAAAAACATTTTCATTAAACATATTGTTCTACCCTCTCTCTCTCTCTCTCTTCTACTATCTCTTTCTTTCTTCTACTCTTTCTTTCTATCTTTCTAATATCTTCTTTCTCTCTATATCTCTCTTCTGTTCTCTCTTCTACTCTCTCTTTCCCTTCTTTCTCTCTTCCTACTTTTTTTCTTCACTCTCTCTCTCTTCAGTTTCTTTCTACTCTATCTCTCTCACATGTTTCTTTACCTTGGATCAGGATCTTTTTAAAATTCAAGGAAAGTTTCTACTTTCTGTTAACTCACAATGGCAGATATAGCTCTGGCAATGGTTACTAAGTTAGACATGTGTGGTCCTACAGTATAATCATGAGATTTCCTCAGCAGGGAAAAGCACACCTCCAAAATTCCTTCTTCAAACTGAAATGAGATACAATTAAAGTCATTATACTGAGTATTTTAAACAAAGTATCAAAACATTTTCATATCCATTTTCTATAAATTTATAACTCTATTTAGAAAAATTGTAGCAGACATATTGCAAGCAATGAGAAACCTGAGCATAATTCCAGACTTTTGCCCCAATCATGTCAGAACTGCCCTGGAAAACTGCACCCTGGTCATTTAGTACATATTCTTCTAACAAGTCTGTGTTCTTCATATATACAAGGTCATCTGTGAAAATTACATATACATTACTAACCATACAAAATTCATACTGTTGCCTTTATAAGCCCTTTCTCTGTCATATATGATCTGAAAAGAATAAGTGCCCAAGAACTTAAAATAAAAACTCACTTTCAAAAAAAAATTAAGACTTAAAGTAAGTTATTCAATTATATATTGAAAAATGTCTACATGTATTTTCTTAGATTTTTCAAGGCAAGCTGGATGAGATGCTTTATTGATTATCTGTAATCTGTGCTGTAAATTTTTGCTATGTGACTGAGTTATACCTTTACACCAAGGATTCAGGAGAATGTTGATGTCAGCTGGACACTCAAACTCATCCTTATGGACCTTGTTTTCCCCAGTTTTGCTCTCAGCGGAGATGAAGAGTGACCACTCCCCTATGATACAGTTAGCTGGGGCCCACACCCCCAGGGTGACAGACTCCTTATCCTGACCGGCCAGACGAGCGTACCAGCTGTTTGGGTCTATGTTCTGTCGACCACTCTTGTCCACTGCCACGGTAACATCAGTTCCATTAGTTAAATTACTGTTTGCCCCTACAAGTTATATATAACAGATTGTACATATGTAAAACAAAACACACACAGATGTACATGTGACAAAGACTTTTCATTCAAGTCTTTGGTATAATAGATGGAAATACTGGTACAGCACTAGCACTATATTTACAGCAAACACACTCACAAATTGGTAAACAAAATGAAAGTTTACTGTGCACTATAAAGTTATGTTAAAAGAATAATTGAATTATTTGGAAGTTTTGCAATTATCACAATGATTTACTGAAAGATGATTTGACAAAAAAAAAAACAGCTTTATTATTATTAAAAAATTTCTTAAGATCAATGGGATCTTTCAAACCTGTTGTAAAGTGAAGAAACAGATCATGCTTTGTTTTGTTGTATTCCCGGTCCAGTTTTAGGATGACATTGAATTCCTGGCCTCTGCGGATGATGAGCTCTCGTTTGCCCTCTGGGAGCTGAGTCAACTCAAACTTATCAGTGTGGTGGGCCTTACAGTTGTTCTGGATGTCAAAGTCTACGTCCTTAATGTTTACAGGTCTCTTGCTAGCTCTCTCCTTTTCCAACCTCTCACGCTCTGAAACACCATGAAAAATAATGTCATGTTATGGTGAATGATTCAGACTCTGCAATATTGATTTTCTAGTTGTTCTAGCCTCTAGGTTTACAAAATTTACCTGTATCTTTAAATAATTAGATTTTTGAGCATTGTACTCTTTTAAATTGTTGAGCAACTTAAGAACATCACAAATGTATCAAAAAACTGGATTATTTGTGAAGGATAAACTATAAGTATCCTTTCCATCTACCTTCTTTTTCCTTTTTCTCCTTTTCTTTCATTTTTTCTAGCAATTCTTCAGCTTCTTTTCTCTCTTTCTCTAGTCTTTCTTCTTCTTTCTTTCTTCTTTCTCTTTCTTTCTCTCTTTTTTCCTTCTCCCTAGTATTGGCCTACAAACAGAAATAAAACTCCCCTATAGGACACTCAAAATCATCCTGATCCCTCCTGTTGTACACTTCAATGAATTAGCATTCTAGAAGTTTGTTGAACATCCAAATTCTGTCACTCAATAAAATAAATATACAGTCTTGACCATGTCCAAATAAAAAGAGATGAACAAGAAGGTTAATAATTACTGAGAAGAATTAAAGACTCTTTTTTGGCATTGATTGCATCATTTGGTAAAAGACATTTATACTTCACAGACTATTACAATTATTCTCTCTATGTATTATCCCCGCTACTAATTACGTACAGATGAGGGCTGTCTCTCCTCACTCTCCTCCCGCTCCCTTGTGATCCTCTCCCTTTGTCTCCTCGAGGAGGCTGACATCTCCTCCAGGTCCCTCATCCATGGATACGATCGGCGGCGACCGAGGCCGTACCTGTTATACGTGTAGTACCCGGGATAGTAAGAACTGTAGTACCGGCTCCTATTTCTCCTACTGTCATACCCTGTCCTGCCCCTGTACCCCACACGGCCCCTGTATCCAACCCGACGTGGCATTCTAACAGGAGAAACACACACTCAATGAGGATATTGTGGGAAAATATTTTTATTAATAAAAAAAAAAAAAACATCTGCTTTTCAAATTAAACTTATATTAATGCTTTTTCAGGGAGAGAAAAATTTAATTAAAAGAAAAAAATTTAAATATGAGCAATCTGCAACACACAAAAAATACAGTTAAAACCGTAGTTCAGATAAAAATGATAATATATATTCCTTATATAGGCATGTATCATTTATAAATCTTCAAAACAATAAATGCAATTCGTACTTGCATTAGTACTTTGATTAGTGAGCTGTGTATAGTACAGGTAAGAGCTTTGACACTCACCTAAATCAGCTTGTATTAATCCTCTGCTACTGTTTACAATCTATAAATACCCGGGACTTCACTGACATGTTCAGTGTACCGAATCAAAAATAAAATCATTATTACTTGACAACAGGACAGTAAACAAACACTAAGCAGGTTCATAGAAAGCTAGGCTTCATCCAATTCAAAATAATGAAAGCTTATATGCTTGACCTTGATGTGGTATTTAAAAATCTGGAGCCAAAAATAGTGATAATTTTTCAGTTGAATACCAGGACACAATATTGTCACTGCTGATTTTTTTAATTACTGGTCTAACAAGCATATTTCTATAGTAAATGAAATCCTGTTAGGAGTATTTGTTAAATCAATATTTGCTATGGGAAACAAATCCGTATACCTAATGGCAAGTTTAAATACCTAAACTTGTTCATCAAAACGGAAATTTAATAAATACATGGATGTACAAAAACATTTTTCAATGTACTCCAAACACATCTTTAAATACCCAAGTTGGGTCATCAAAACAAAAATTAAATGGATGCATTACATGCATCATTTGATTTTGAAATGCGCATAATTATAATCTCAAACTTTCAAGTCATTTCTCAATCTTTCCACTCCTTACTCAGGGACATCAGAACAAAGATCTGGAGATTCAATGATAATCTAATCTATAATTGTCAGTGGTTTACCATTTTTGCATTTTTATGCACCTTGACATATTTTCAAACAATTCAAGATAGGAGAAGATTGAAAACATTTTTACTGAAGATTTACCACCAAATTCAGATTCAGGGTGTGCTTTCAGGATCAAAGCAGCAACACAGCTTATTTGCAGAGCTATGATCTTGAATGATATGATATTATGACCATTACATAGGGAAAGCAAGCATAAAAATTTGATGCTAGGTACCATATCCTGCCTCCCTAGTTACCATATGATAAACATCACAAAAATACTTATACATGTACATGCTTACTTTATATAAGTTTTTTTTTTCATCCTAATGATTTAAATGTAAATTAGATTTATAAATTTACTTTAGTTAAGCTCACTTTGTTAGAATAATAAGTTATTACATGCACTGATAATAAAAAAACCTAGCTAGCATTTAGATGGGTTGTCTGTTGAATAGTCAATAGAGCTTGATATCTACCATCTTGTAGCTGCTAAGTTAGAGCTTGATATCTACCATCTTGTAGCTGCTAAGTTAGACACTATGATCTTGAACACAGTGCTGATGATAACTTACATCACACTTTTATTTACCACTGGCTCAAAAGCCAATCAGAATGTGACAATGAGGCTACATGTACACAAGAGGCCCAGGGGCCACAGCGCTCACCTGAGCACATCGGGCTTGAATTTACCCCCCCCCCCTTCCCCTCAAGTCATTCATCATTTGAACAAACTAGAATCTACACTACCTGAGGATGATTCCATATAAATATCACTAATCATAGCTTTGAAGTACTTGAAAAGAAGATTTCAAAAGATTTCCCTATATATCCCTATGTAAAACTTGGGTCGGCCATTTTGGCCCCACCCTAGCCCCGGGGGTCATGATTGGAACAAACTTGAATCTACACTACCTGAGGATGATTCCACATAGGTTTCATCTTTCCTGGCCCAGTGGTTCTTGAGAAGAAGATTTTTAAAGATTTTTCCTACATATTCCTATTTAAAACTTGATTTTGGCCCCACCCTTGCCCCGGGGGTCATGATTTGAATAAACGTGAATCTACACTACCTGAGGATGATTCCACACGAGTTTCATCTTTCCTGGCCCAGTGGTTCTTGAGAAGAAGATTTTTAAAGATATTTCCTATATATTCCTATGTAAAACTTGGGTCGGCCATTTTGGCCCCAACCTAGCCCCGGGGGTCAAGATTTGAATAAACTTGAATCTACACTACCTGAGGATGATTCCACATGAGTTTCATCTTTCATGGCCCATTGGTTCTGGAGAAGAAGATATTTAAAGATTTTTCCTATATATTCCTATGCAAAACTTGGGTCGGTCATTTTGGCCCCACCCTTGCCCCGGGGGTCATGATTTGAACAAACTTGAATCTACACTACCTGAAGATGATTCCACATGAGTTTCATCTTTCTAGGCCCAGTGGTTCTTGAGGAGAAGATTTTTAAAGATTTTTCCTATATATTCCTATGTAAAACTTTGGTTGGCCATTTTGGCCCCACCTTTGCCCCGGGGGTCATGATTTGAACAAACTTAAATCTACACTACCTGAGGATGATTCCACATGAGTTTCATCTTTCCTGGCCCAGTGGTTCTGGAGAAGAAGATTTTTCCTATATATTCCTATGTAAAACTAGGGTCTGCCATTTTGGCCCCACCCTTGCCCCGGGGGTCATGATTTGAACAAACTTGAATCAACACTACCTGAGGATGATTCCACATGAATTTAATCTTTCCTGGCCCAGTGGTTCTGGAGAAGAAGATTTTTAAAGATTTTTCCTATATATTCCTATGTAAAACTTGGGTCGGCCATTTTGGCCCCACCCTTGCCCCAGGGGTCATGATTTGAACAAACTTGAATCTACACTACCTAAGGATGCTTCCACATGAGTTTCATCTTTCCTGGCCCAGGGGTTCTGGAGAAAAAGATTTTTTAAAATGCCATTAATTTTTAACAAATTCATGATTATCTCCCCTTGGAAAAGGGCGTGGCCCTTCATTTGAACAAACTTGAATCCCCTTCACCCAAGGATACTTTGTGCCAAGTTTAGTTGAAATTGGCCCAGTGGTTCTTGAGAAGAAGATGAAAATGTGAAAAGTTTACGACAACAACGACAACGACAACAACGACAACAACGACGACAGACAACGGACAAATTTTGATCAGAAAAGCTCACTTGAGCCTTCGGCTCAGGTGAGCTAATAAACACAAAAGGAAACCAAACTGCATCATTGTTAAAACTCTGGAAAACATAGGATTAATAGTAAATAGTCAGACTGAGTGCATAACTTGATCAGCTAAACTTTGAAAAAAAAATGTTGAAAGTTTCAACTTTAAGGATATATAAAGAACAAAACCATATCCATTTTAAATTTTACTATTTACATGTACTGCTATATATAATTAACACAATATTTCAGGTCAGGTTCCCTCTTCCCAATTAGGCTCTGCCCAAGGAGGCATGGAGGTCTCATAGTACCAGTCAGGGCCCTGAAATACAGTCATAGAGATTAATATGGCAGTTAGATTACATCTGTTTAACTGATGTTTGAAACGAATCAAATTCTATTCAAGAGAGTCTATTTGGTTCAAGACAGCAATGTAAGGGGCATAACTCTTACTGTTTTAAATATTCAATACAAATTACATTTACTAAAATCGAATGTAGTTGTTAGACATTTTATCTGAGACAATGTATTTCATGTCAAATCCTGCCAAATCACTGTACAATGTCAATGAACACTTACTTTGTAACTTAAAGCATGGAGGTAGAGTGTCAGCTGATCAGGTGTCGGGTCCAGAAACTTTTTCTTGCAGAGTGGACATGACTCCGAGGGAAGCCACTTGTCCCACTCAAAAGGAGGCTGGGGTTTCCCATCCATTTTTAACCTTTGGTCACCATCAGTCTTGAAAACACTTGCAGAGGGATCACTTAATTTCTTGTCCTCTGAATTGGAGTCACTTTTCTCACATGAATTAAGCTTAGACTTTTTGGGAGTTGGTTCTGAATTTGCGCCCTGATCACCAGGATTTTTTTGCTCCTCTTTGAGCTCTGTAATGCGTTTGAGAAAGTCTGGATTTTCACCCGTGCTGGTCCACATTTCTCTGTTGTGTTCATCTTCTTTTAGTTCTCTTATCTGAAATTAATTTTACAGCTTTTCTTAAAATCACAAATTTGAGGAAGTTGAAAAGTTCACTTTGTATCTTTTAATGTCTAAAACTTTGACCAGTTATTTCAAAATTCAAACTCTGTAACTTTTCTACATAGAAAATATGCTTCCTATGCTGTCCATGGTCATGTCCATCAATATATGTATTTCACAAAATTACCTGTGTATCTGTGAGCTGGTAATTCCCACCCTTTCCCTTTTCAGGACCAAAACATGTACTGTTGTAGCATGCATCATTAACTATTGGGTGACCTTCAATCAAAGAGTATTATTTTCAAAAACAAACAAAATAAAAACAAACAAACAAACCATGAGAAAAAATAAAGAAAAGAAATTGAATAAAATATACAAGTAAATTTGATTTGCAATTAAGCAAACAAAGAGGACAATCTGACCTAAATACTGAAGATGTACCCTAATCTGATGAGTGCGACCTGTATATGGTTTGCCTGAAGAAAAAAACAGGAACAACTATGAAAGCAATACATGTATATTCTTCTGCACTTATTTGTACAAATGCTTGCAAATAAACTCGAATTCTTTAGAAAACAAATTGGAAACACACTTGGTACTGAACGTAGGACATTGCTGAGGACTTACATTTGACAACACTGGTTTTCCCATTATAACTGAGTCGAGTGAAAGTGGTCTTAGAAGGTTTACCATCAGCCCCACACTTCATTATCCCCATCTTAAATGACACTTTAGCAATGGGTTGCTCACAAACCACTTCCCCTCTGAAAAAGTGATTTCTCTAATTAAATAGAAACATAAGAGATGTATTTTATTTCTTTTTTGACTAAATTCAATCACAAAGAATTTGCACATAGAATTAGTTGAACAAGCATTACATGTATACCATATTCAAGTAATAACAAGTAACAAAATGCTTATAGCCAAAATCAATCTGCCTGGAAAACAACTTTACAGTCAAACCCTCGTTACTTGACAGTACTCTACTTACTATGGAAACTCCCCCTCCACTCTACAGACACATTCTACTTACTCTGGAAACTCCCCCTCCACTCTACAGACACATTCTTCTTACTCTGGAAACTCCCCCTCCACTCTACAGACACATTCTACTTACTCTGGAAACTCTCCCTCCACTCTACAGACACATTCTACTTACTCTGGAAACTCCCCCTCCATTCTACAGACATACTCTACTTACTCTGGAAACTCCCCCTCCACTCTACAGACACACTCTACTTACTCTAGAAACTCCCCCTCCACTCTACAGACACACTCTACTTACTCTGGAAACTCTCCCCCCACTCTAAAATCCTCTTCTTATTCTGGAAACTCCCCCTACACTCTACAGACACATTCTACTTACTCTGGAAACTCTCCCCCCACTCTACAGACATATTGTACTCACTCTGGAAACTCTCCCTCCACTCTACAGACATATTGTACTTACTCTGGAAACTCTCCCTCCACTCTACAGACATATTGTACTTACTCTGGAAACTCCCCCTCCACTCTACAGACACATTCTACTTACTCTGGAAACTCCCCCTACACTCTACAGGCACATTCTACTTACTCTGGAAACTCCCCCTCCACTCTACAGACATATTGTACTTACTCTGGAAACTCCCCCTTCACTCTACAGGCACATTCTACTTACTCTGGAAACTCTCTCTCCACCTTACAGACATACTCTACTTACTCTGGAAACTCTCCCTCCACTCTACACACATATTCTACTTACTCTGGAAACTCTCCCTCCACTCTACAGACATATTGTACTTACTCTGGAAACTTCCCCTTCACTCTACAGGCACATTCTACTTACTCTGGAAACTCTCTCTCCACCTTACAGACATACTCTACTTACTCTGGAAACTCTCCCTCCACTCTACACACATATTCTACTTACTCTGGAAACTCTCCCTCCACTCTACAGACATATTGTACTTACTCTGGAAACTCTCCCTCCACTCTACACACATATTGTACTTACTCTGGAAACTCTCCCTCCACTCTACAGACATATTCTTTCTCCACATTCCTGTTTGTGATGTCATCAATGTATTTTCTTGTAGAGGCTTCATTCTTTGTGAAAATAAGAACTCCTGATGTCAAGCGATCGAGTCTGTACACAGCTATAATAAAACCAAAACTAAAATAAATAAGTCTGTCACAGCTGACATACCTAATCAAGTCTATCAGAACTTAAAATAAAGCCAAAACAAGGCTTGATCTTTCTTCTGCTATGAATCAGAGGCCTAAACCACAGGCACTTAAGCTGTGTATTAAACAGTTTGCCAGCGCATTTCCTCCGAAAGTGTAAATGAGTTCTTTCTGAGGAAGGGGGTACTGAGTTAGCTGCAATAATGTAGCCCTCTACCTTTTATTTTTTGGGGGGGGGGAAAGGGCTACAACTTCTTAGAATCTCCGTAATGGTGCAAATGAGGGAGCGATTCACTCCCGCACAGATTTCAGCTCAAATTGTCAGTAAATGGCTATTTTATTAACGTTTCTTACCTGGACTTCCAAATTATAGTTATCCAAGGCATATACTGATCCAGAAATATACAGAATGATCCACATAATGGTTATTTTCGTTTGTCAACATCATGTTTACTGACTTTGATAGATTTTATTTTGGGACAGCCAATGAGATTAAGGATCTATAGGGAGCAGATTTCTTTGGAATTACCTTATTTAATTTACATGGTGTTCACATTTAACGGGCTTTGTTGTTGACAGTTAATAAAAATTTTGTCTTATTAGAAGTAAGTTGAATGTAAAAACAATTTATTTTGCCTGCAATCGCCCGTATTTAAAAATAGTTTTGCACCATTACAGAGACGCTGTGGAACTGTAGCCCTCTCCAGAAAACATCAGATTAAAAAAATTGGAGAGGGCTTCATTATTGCAGCTAGTACTGAGTGTAATTTGGACTTAGACACTTTGTATTATTATTATAATATGGGTTAAAAATTTATTTCTGATACAAGTGCCTGTGGCCTAAACAGCTTAGGTGTATCTCATATTACGCCAAATACATCACAGCATGCTTGAAGCTGTATTTACAATAACCTACTTCTGAGATTTCCATAGCCCAGCTCCTTGCCAAGAATGAAGACCATGGAGTTGTAGCGGTAGTTCCCACAGGGGTGACAGGGAATGGACGAGGGTTTGTTGACCACTACTACATCTTTGTTATCCTCAATCACCTCAATTGTCTCTCCTGACACTGGGTTTTCATGTCTAAAAAAATACATTCCTTTCTTTTCTTACAATGGTTTTGGCAATTCTGTATAGCTTAAAATGGCAAGGGAATCTGTTCTTCAAAAGTCTATGAAAAACTTTGAATATTGTATGTGTTTCAACTCTGTCTAAAGGATTATATTTTGAATAAACTTGAATCTACACTTAATTGGCTTGCTTGTATATTTAAAATGTGACTGATTAAGGTCTTGATGTTCTTAACATTTTTTATATTAAATTTTGATATTTGGGTGATGTACATGTGTGGAACTGAATTTGATTGTGGTCTTATTTTTTTCTCCTTGAAAGAGGGCATGGTCATTTATTAGAACAAATTTGAATACCCTTTTACGAATGATGCTTTGTGGCAAATTTAGTTTAAACTGACCCAATGGTCTTGAAGAAGTGAAAAAATGTCAAAAGTTATAACTATGCAACAGCCAGATGGATGCTAAATAAAATAAGGTCAGAAAAAAAAAATCTCTCTGCTCCTGTCATCAACAAAACATAGTACCTAATGTATCATACTTTTGACAAAAGTTTGACAAAACTAATAAAGAAGCAGTTTTGTCTTTAATTTAATTTTTTTTTTTTTGACACAGTATTTCTAAATGTACCTGTGAATATTATTTTCAATGACATCTCCTTGTTTGATCTTGTATTCAAGAGGCACGGCTTTACCATTTACAGTTATATGACCTTCCTTCACCAGAGTTTCCTATTCAAGCAAAATAAACATAACACTTAAAATGATTTTACATATAGTATAAAAATATAGTATACATATTGATGTATTGTTGATAGTTGATGTATGTTGATAGTTTTGAAAAAGTCATACTGGTAATTGTAATTCATTCAAAGGGAGAAACTATTAAAAATAGTGTGATCACACTTGCATACCCCAACTTCCATTATTGCTTGATAATGTTGCACATATTAGATGGCATGCTACATGCATTAAATGCAATGAATAATTATTAACCCCTCCCTTTACGCTATACATCTAAATGTTTGGGAAAATCGTAATCATTAAAGACATCAATGTTCGTAGTTCACTGAGGGGGCCAAATTGTTAAGATCAAAAGGGGTACAACTCTCATCAAAAAATTAATGAATCAGCTAGAATTTCCTGCAAACATGCACATTTAGATATTATGTCCTAATTAACTATCAAGATTCATGAAAATCTGTTGTACAGTTTAAGAGGAGTTATGCTAGGAGAGCAGGACTGACTGACTGATGGATGGGTCAAAATTTAACATTTTATGATTATACCCCCACAATTTCTTTTAAAGCGTATAAATAAAGAAGTCTTACCACATCATATTCCTTTGCTAATGTGAACTCATTCATGAAAATATCACATAATGTGCGATTAAACCAGCGGCCTTTCACAAATGTGGAGAAGACATAGAAATAAGGATATACTTTCCTCAAACCTACAATAAAACCAATAATATATTTATATTTCAGCAGAAAGATGTACTGAGTTCAGATTAAAATTTCCTTCATGGAGAAAGGAGAAATAACCAACAGATTTCCACACAAATTTTTACTGTTAAATCACTAATTTTTGGCAAGGGGGGGGGGACTTTTTGTTGTGTTCCTGGTATGAAAAGAGTTTTGAATTCAAATCAACCAGGAAACTTTAAAATCTCAAGCTAAGATTAATACTATACATGTACTTTGGAAACCTTGAAAGCAAATACTGTAAACGAGAAAATTTGGCGCATACATATTTTAGCGCAAATGCAAGTGGGAATGCATTGGCACAAATAAATTTTAGCGCTTGTACTTGTCAGTAAAATATATAAATGTGATATTTTGTTTGTTTTTTTTTTATCAACACCCGTATTTGACTTTTTTGATTAGTCAAGCACGGAAACACATTAGTACTCCAGTATATCAGTAAACATTCGTTAAGTTTACCGCAGTACGTGTTGCTATCACATGGACGTGGCACAATGTTAAAATTTATTTTATTTCTATTTTCAATTAAAAGAAATGGAATATTTACTCATTTCAATCATATTAAATCAATGCATGCATCGACAGAAAATTACTTAGATAAAACGGTAATCCTAATCAGGTATTGTCTGCAAACTCAATCGCCATGCTTGACTGCATTGTTTACCTCGAGGCGCCCAGAAGCCAAACTTTGGAGGTGCTAATGATAATAATCGGGTAACAACTACTGGAGTAACAATAGTTTAATTAAATTATAATTTGGCAGAACTTTCTGTCTTCCGAACATGTGTAGTACTAGTGTGTATATAAAATCCAATGACCCTTCGACATTACGTAATCGCGCGTTCCAGTTAACATGTACTTATGTAAAAGCTTTGAACACACACAAAAAATTATATTTAGAAATCCTTTTCCAAGAAATAGCACAATAAATTTTAAGAACATAGTTAATTATTTGTTTAAGGCGCAAAATTAGTGAAATTTCACCTTTTTCTCGTTTTACAGTACCTCGGACCTACCTTTTCTCCACAAACCACAATTTTCTTACTTCATAAAAATTAATGGTTTTACAACATACATGTATTCTCCATCAAAATAGAAAATGCAGGTTTTTGTATAAAAAAAAAATTAGATGATTTGCTAGTAAAAATCTGTATCACTCATTTTTTTTTTTATTTTTATTTTGGGGTGGGTCATGCCATTCAGAATACAGTATTAGAGGTTTTGATAACTTACCATTTTCAAAGTAGTATTCTGTTTCATTAAAGATATTGTATCCAGGGTTAGGGTTGTTTGTCAATCCTTTGTTTTTCCTCTTTAACTCCTTGTATTTCTCTTTCTTTGAAGTAAAAAATAATAAATCAGAGCTTTAATGAAAATGCAAGTTGATAAGATCTCTTGACACACTTTCAGGCAATTTGAAAAAGAATATAAATTAAAGTCAAATTTATCTAAACTAGCAGAAAGGTTACACAGCAACAACTGTGGTAAAACTAACTTTTTATTTAATACATTTATACATAATAAAACCTCAACATGCTGTTATTTTTTTTGTTTTGTGGCATGACCCATACTAACCCTTATGAGTGCTCTCCTGGCTTTTCCTGATAAATTCTCCAATGATATTCCTGATTTACTGGTACTTGGAATAGAGACAGTCTGAGTTTGGTCTGTTTCTTTTTCTCCACTCATTTGGTTAGAGCAAGAATCATCATCTGACGGTTTGAAATCTGTTTTACTAGTGGTACTATCTGACATCTGTCCATAAAAAATAAATGGATGACTAGAAAATATTGTAAAGTTGTAACATGAAAAGTGTCTAAGTTTGGGTATTCAATTTTCAACAAATGTACCCTATCTTATTCTACTTACAATGGAATCATTAAATTAATTAATACTTGAGGAAAATCAATTTTTTTTCTGGTTTGAAGTAGTTTGTTTGTTAATCATACATACTGCTAAGTGAACTCATGATACTCTGACAAAGTATTGATTGTGGGGATATAAATTTAAATTTGTGGTTTAGGATGGCCCATGAAATTTCTTAAGTCCATGCCCCCCCCCCCCCCCTCCCGAATAATGATGATTTGACAGTATTTGAAAGGAAAAAAAATTCAGAAATTAGAGCTGAACAATTTGTGACATTGCCCACTGGTTTCATAAAGTTTAGAATGTACTGTTGTTGTTCCCACGGTTTGGGACCTGTCCCGAGACACATTTATATTGCAGACTTAGTTTAACCTTTCTTTCATTTAAATTAGACATCATATATACACAGTAGATGATACATACAGGATTCGGAAACAAGTTGTAATAACTCAGATTTGATATAAAATAACTAAATTAATAATATTTTACACTGTAAAAACCTACACAAGTAGACTTTTTAGTAATTCCCATAGACTGATAGAGAACTTTAACAGGTTGGGACCAATCGCCCAAATGGGATATAATAGTCCGTTTGGGATATAATATCCCAAATGGGCTATAAATTTACAGTGCAAAAATTGAAAATTTTTATTTAGGCTATAAATATATTATAAATCCGCATCAGGTCACTTAAAAAGGAATTACTTTTGGTAAGCAAGTTTTTCTGCACCCCTACCATTTGCAAGCTTGATCCCCAAGAAGTTAAGGAACTTCCGAGGGATCAATCTCCTAAACAATGGGCATACAGGAAAACTTGTCAACCAAAAGTTATTCCTTTTTTTAAGTGTCCGGATTTATGATATTTATAGCCAAAATAAAAATTTTTAATTTTTGCACTGTAAATTTATAGCCCATTTGGGATATCATATCCCAAACGCACTATTATATGGAACATACTAAAGACCTGATATACTAAAGACCTGATATTTTGACCTGATGAAAAAAAATATATCAATTTAAACTTTCTATTTCATGTTGGTTTTTTTTAGGGAAAATTATTGATGATGATAGTTGAAATTATATTAAATTACATTTTTAGTGGATAATTTGTAGATTATTTTGCTATATATCAAGGTATATTCACAAAACTTGATGACCTGATAATTTTGAATGACCTGATATTTCTACTTTAAAGACCTGATATTCTTAAATGAAATACAATTGCTGCAAATATTCAAATTTTAAAAGATTTAACTGTTTTATTTTTCTGAAAATATGAAGCAATAATATAATAATAAATCAGGTCATTTAAATCCATCAAGTCATTCAGAAATATCAGGTCATCAAAAAATATCAGGTCTTTACTCTTTAGTAAGAAATCATCAGGTCATTTCAAAATCCTTTTTTTTCATAAATTGCTGCAAACATTTTCTTCTCAAAACCATTTAAAGTGTTTCATCTTTCTAAAAGAATTATTTAATATATCAGATATATTTAAAACAATCCCTTACAAGTCATTTATAAAAATATCAGGTCTTCCCTAAAATTATCAGGTCATTCAAAAATATCAGGTCATTCAATAATATCAGGTCAACAACTTTTTGTAAGTACTCCTTGATACAAAGTCAGTGTTATCCCCTAAAAAGTGTATTTTAGTATAGTTTCATCAATAATTTTCCAACTTATATTTGAAATATAATCTTTAAATTGATGATTTTATATGATATTTTTTTCATCAGGTCAAAATATCAGGTCTTTAGTATATCAGGTCTTTAGTATGTTCCCTATTATATCCCATTTGGGCGATTGGTCCCAACCTGTTTAATTCTACGATTGGAAAAAAAAAATAAGAGAATCAAGTTTTGTCTTTAGCAATACCTTACCATGCAGACATTTACTCTGAAAATAAACCCTTTCTGGATCCAATTCTTTGATCCTAAAATGCGTAATTTTACGAACATGCAGATATATCTTTTCATAAGTTAAATATTTGACATGTTTTACATGGGCGCAGCCATCTTGAAATTGTAATATCCGAACCAAAAAACCCATTATTTTCCGGATAAATACTGAACAGCTCTCTTAGACCAAAATAAAAACGGGTAAATTTTAGAGCTGAAATAGGAATTTTATAACTGAATTAGTGCAATCAATTTTTGACATTTGAAGGGGATTTTTAAAAAAATATTTACAGTAAGAGTTTCTTGACAACTGCATATCCCCGGTATATGTAGGAAGGTAATTTGAATGGGTGCATTTTCAAAGGTAGAGTTGTAGAAATATTTTTAAAAAAAAAATAATAGAATCAACATGAAAATCATTTTTTTTCCCAGATTTTTCATTGAATTTATATAAGATTTATTTCAGGAATTCTAGCAAAACCAGGTATGATACAGTAAATATATATACGTCCCTGGCATGTCTAAAAAAGTTTAAAAAAACAATTTTAGGCTGCTAGACACCTGCATGTATTTCATTTACAGCAAGTCTTGTAAGATGGGCAAAATTTATTAGAGAATGGAACTAAATAAGTTTTTACATTGAATTGAATTTTTTTTATCTCAAAAAGTAATTCATGCTACAGGACATGTAAATTAAGCATGGTATGAAAGATTAAGTACATCTGTGAAGATACTGGTAGTTTGAAAGCATATCTACATGCAAATAAAATCAGTTCAAAATGTCAACTTAAAATATGATGTAAAAGAACATCAGTAACTGAGAAAAGTTATTACATTGTATTCGAATTCTAATCAAGGGACATAACTTTTGTGAAAAATAGGGGTCAACCAACATGAAACTTAATCTTAAGGACAGATGATACACACAAACTTTTGTCAAAAATTGAAAATAACTACTTGAATCATGTATTAACGAGTAAAATGAATAGGTTTCACCACATAGTTTTTGATTTATTATTCAAATTTTCACTAAAATGGGATTTGAAGTAAAAAATATTTGTAAAGATTAATAGGGATGGTTTCAGAGAGGCAGAATTTTTAACATCATAGAAGGTTTACAATTTCTTTATATTCTAAAAATCTATTATTAGATGGAAAGGGATAACACTAGAAGTTCTGAACGTTTCAAAATAGCATAGGGACATAAAAACAACCCCCTCCCTATAAATCATGTAAAATGTTGAAGTGTATATCCAATTTTAACACAGGATTAATTACACAACATTTGTTTTATAAATTTTATTTCATATTTCCTAAACATTTAACAATTTCACAAGTCCATAACAATGGATGACCACTCAAAGTATTTACACATTTAGTACTGTTCATCAATATTAGACTGGCATATCAACATGTCTTGATATTCATTAAGTCCTATAAGTCAGGTCTGACCCCAAACCCAGGGCCTGTGGGTGGTTCCGTTAATGAGGTCAACCCATCTTTGGGTTCCGAGGCAAATCTGTGTTTTTGACCACTCCTGAAATAAAAAATAACCCCAATATGGAAAGAGAATTTAAAAATTCAAAGCACCTGTAACTTTAAATATACATGTACTTCTCTTTTTCACAGGACACATACATAAGAAATGTTGCTGCTGAGACAATTTTTAAAATTATGTAATTTGTGTGGTATATATTTAAACAAATTTGATTTCTAGGAGACCATTTCATTCTACAAGTATATAGATACATGTAATACATATAAATATTATTAGAACTCACTGTGGTCCTGGAGTGGGTTTCTTCCCTTGCTTAAGGTCATTCAATATTCTTCTTATATCGTCTACAGTCAAGTCCTCCTAAAACAATGATTAAAAAAATAAAATAAAAAAAAACATCAAAAAAGTTTTGACAGGAAAGTATGCTGTAGTAGATCAGTGCAATAAATAATCCACAATTAAGGTCTATCACCTGTTCAATCAGTTAAAAGATCATCAACATATGGTAGATTGAAGTGAGGAACTTAAATTAAATTATAAATTTGCCGAAGCTACAAATGTTATACAGACACAATTAGAAAAGGTAAGCAGTCATTACTTACGTAATAATCGTCATTAATCTGCACCATGGGGGCATTAACACAGGCTCCTAAACACTCCACCTCTAGCAAACTAAACATCCCATCCTCAGTCATCTCCCCTGGCTTAATTCCTGTATAGCAATGGGTTATATAAGTACAACCAATAATTCGGGCATCACTAACATTGTGTAATTTCAATTTTTTTCATTTTTTACAATAAACTCTGCTACAGTTGTAAAAATTACTTTTGTTTACCTAAGTTTTCCTCAATTTCTTTCAGTATAATATCAGACCCCACGCCTCCAAGGATACAGGGTGTTGTGGTGCAGATCTGTACAAAGTATTTACCCACTGGTTTCCTGTAAAAAGGAAATTTAAACATCATTAAAAACATTGGGCATTTTTTTCCTCAATTTTATAGTACTACAAGTTACATGAATAAATTTATTTCATGTCTGACTTTCTATCTCCTTCTCTGGGAAAAAGAGAGTTTTTACAATGCCTAACAAATGAATGAATGAATAAAAAAAATTACCTATTAAACATTGTGTAAAATGTGGCGACTTCATACACTCTCATCTTTGGCATCTGAAGCATTTCTCCCACTTTATGCATGGCTGAGATTGGAAGCCATCCTGGAAAAAAAAAATCATGAAGTAGAGAAAGTAATTTGATGAAAATTATTTATGCATAAACCACTCCATTTCACTCTAGCTCCATAATCCATGATACAGTACTTGTTGTTGGTAAGTTGAATTTGAAACTTAATTCATTAAATTGCTATTTTAGAATTTTGATGGTTAAATGGCGGAACATTTAGTTACTCTACAGAGCTCTATGGAAAAGCTGTGAGTTGTCTTACCATGCTGTCTCTGAGCTAAATCCAGGAGTGGGATGACAGCTGCTGCCTGGTGACCCTCAGGGTAATTACTGATGATGACCTCTGCCCTCTAAAGTAAACATCACACTCAAATGAATTACCTATATGTGTATGTTATCTTTTATTTTACAAAGCTGTGTGACATCATGAAGCAAATGGGTATAAACTTTTCCATAAGCACCTTCAGTTGAAACCACTACTTTATTCCTCTCAGGGATACATTTTTTTTTTGTGGTAGCAGAATTTTTTCTTTTAATTACAATATCAAGAAATTTTGTTAACAAATAAAAGGGAAGCTCCATGGTTAATTATCAGACTTCAATTTTAAAGTGGGGAAAGGATTTAATTCAAGTGAAAAAAAAAATACCCAAAGTGAGCAACAAAATAATGCTGGCGTAAATCAAAGGGTTTACAATGCTTTGATCTGTAGCTCTCTGCTTTATCTGTTGGCATTTTCTCAAGCAGAGAGCTACAGTTCTGCAGCTAATTCTGAGTGTGTCTAACTCTAAGCTTTGGCCTTCAAAACATATTGTTCAGTTTGAAGAGGTGGAGCAAAGCTAAAAGTGTATGCAAATGTTTTGGTTTCTACTTAATATGAATATGCTTATGAAAATGTGCTCATCCCAAATGCCAGACTGTCAAACTAAATGTTTTAATGAAATTCAATAAATGTTATACTTCTACCTTTAAATTTTCTGGTGTAAATTCAAAAGGAGTGTTTGGATTGTTTTCTGGTGAATCTCTGTGCTGGAATACAGAAAATATATCAACACAATACTATGTATTAAAACTCATGACCCAGGGAATATTAAGAAAATTTCCTGGAATCTATAAATCATTTTTTTCTCACCCCAAACATAAAAAGGAGAGAGAACTGACTTTAATTAAGTATCAAAATTAACAAATTGTGTTTAGGAAAGAAAAGTGTTTAATTTAAAAAAAAAATGAAAAGAATACCGGTAAGATAAAAAAAAAAATTGCATGCTTTCTATGTTGCTTTCCTTGTTGTTCAACTTTCATTTCTGTCAGTGTTTGTAAATGTTATGTACTGTACTGCGCTTTCATTATTTATTTCTTTCAATTATTTTTTTTGAATCAGCATGATCAGTGCTTATTAGGACTGTGATAATCATCCGTGTGCAAAACAATTTATGCTGCTTCTTTTTTTAATTTATTCAATGTAATAGGTGCTAGTATCTGTGATTTTTTTTCTTTATCATTAAAGTGTCATTTTAAATGGCTTCATTTAAATTATCTTTTGTTTTACTAACAATGTATATTTTTACTAATTTTTATCTCTGTGTAAATATGTTTAAGTCGGTTAAAGAGCTCACCACAGCTCATGTTATTTCTGTTGTATTGTATATATGTGCCGACTATAAATAAAATTTACTTGACTTGAAGATAAGCAAACTAATTCCAAACTAATCAGTATTAATCACTTACTACAAATGACTGTGACCCAGATGCTGTTGCTGTACGATGGAAGTTCCGCACCTGCGACGACTGTCAAAACAATAGTCTGATAATACAGTTATAGTAATTACTCAATGAAAAATGTACATAATCTCTCTCTGTCTCAAACACAGAAACTAATGAATATTAACATAAAGCAATTTATCTGCGGTCAATAATTCACATGAACAATATGCTGAAATTTAGTTGCATAATTACCAAAAGAATTCATTATTTATTCAACAATATAAACGTCTTTGCATCATTGATATGTGTCACACTAGGCTACAGATCTTATACATAAACACGATATCACACATTTTCTATGCTTCTCCGTACACAGATCATGCAAACAAATAAGATCTTCTGAATACTTTTTATCAATGACCTTCACTTCACTTAAATTTTTAGGAAAGCTAAGATACATATCCAGTTCATTTAAAATTCATCAACATCATCTTCATACATGATTCTACAAGTTTTAAATGCAATTATATTTGTTAATTTGCATTAAAATTGAAAACTTACGGCCGCAGACAAAACTCTTCCACACACAGTTCGAATCATCTCTGCAGCGGATGTTGACTTCGGTATTCACTGCGGTACAGTTATGTAACTTCTTGATGTTGGAAAAAAAAGAATGATATTATATAGCATGTTTATTTCCACTGATTCTACCAAAATATAGTTGTATTTTTTATCTGAGATAATAAAATTGTACAAAAA